GTCAGCGCGGTCAGCGGCTGGACAGGGCCTGCTGGCTGATTCGAGGCATGGTGGGCGGTCGCTTCCTTACATGTACTCCTACCACACGGATGACCAGAAGAATCGTTCCATGTTGAGAATTGGTGAATCTGCTTGGAGCAAACCTCAGAGTTTTGAAGCTATTGGGAGCACATTCGAGGTCGTTCTTCCTGACAAGCATGGTAGATCCGAGATCCATTCAGGTGTGTCTGTCGCCGAGGGCGACGGAAAATACAAATTGACGAAGGTCGTGACCATCGCACCACGCTTCATTCTGAAGAACAAGCTAAACGAGGACATCCTGGTCCGGGAGCCTGGCTCGTCAAATGTCCTACAAATCAAGAGTGGTGAACTAACACCCCTACACTTCTTACGCCAAGTTGTGGACAAGCAGCTGTGCCTCTGCTTCCCGGGGGTAAACAATCAATGGTCATCGCCCTTCAACATTGCCGATATTGGAACCGTACATGTCAAGCTTGCCAAAGCTAATCAACGCCAGAGACTCGTCAAGGTTGATATTATCATGGAGGGTGCAACTCTCTTCATCCATTTCAGTTTCGAGCCCCGCAACTGGCCTTTCTCGATGCGAAACGAGAGTGACATGGAATTTATCTTCTTCCAGGCTGTGAGTATACCTTGAACGCCCTCAAAACATGCATTGCTAACGCAACCGTAGAACCCGAACCTTGAAGACGACGAGGAAGACAGGTCCAATGGCTGGCGACCTATTCGCTACCGCCTTCCTCCTCGCAGCATCATGCCCTATGCCTGGGATTATCCAGCCACCAAGAACAAGTCCCTTGTCTTAACATGCAAAGGCAAGGAAAGACACATCAAGCTTGCTGAAATTGGAAACTTGATACCGATGAGAATTCCCCCAACCCAGTATGGAGAGACTCAGAAGATCATTGATATCAACATTGTTGCAAATGGTCCGACCCAGACCTTAGTCTTGTCGAATTTCAAGGCATCGAAGAGTATTTACAAGCAAAAGGGACAAGCCTCACAGAGCAGCTTGAGCACTGGCTTCGAAGTGAAAGAGCTTGATTCCGATGTCAACTTCAAAGCCCAGCTCCGGCTTGGAGGCATTGGCATCTCCTTGATCAATCAAAATTTGAGGGAGCTGCTCTATCTGACATTCCGCGAAATTGAAATAAAATTCAGAGAATCACGAGTTTACCAGACTCTGAACACCACAATCAAGTGGATTCAAATCGACAATCAGCTGTACGGAGGCATCTTTCCCATTTTGCTGTATCCCAGTGTGGTTCCAAAGACTGGAAAGGAGATGGAAGCACATCCAATCTTCCATGCTATGGCTACGCGCGTCAAGGACGACTCTTATGGTGTTCTCTATATCAAATATGCCACAGTTCTTTTGCAGCAGATGACATTGGAGCTTGATGAAGATTTCATTGCCGCAATGCTCGACTTTGTTAAGGTGCCTGGTGCTTCATGGTCTGAGCCGCACGAAGGGAAACTCTGCGATGAGGACTTGAACATTCCAGAGCCGCAGAATGAAGGTGCCGCTCAGGACGTGTATTTTGAACTTCTCCATCTGCAACCTATGCAGATCGACATCTCGTTCATGCGTACTGAGCGCGTGAATGCGGAGGATGCTCTGCAACCGTCCAACCCGCTGATGTTCTTCGTTCACGTCATGACAATGTCAATGGGCAATGTTAACGACGCTCCGGTACGTCTGAATGCATTGATGCTGGAGAATGCGCGTGTCTCCCTTGGAGTGCTTGTCGGCAACGTCCAGAGACACTATACGCAAGAATTCCTTCGCCAGGTACATGTGGTCCTCGGCTCTGCGGATTTCTTGGGCAACCCCGTTGGGTTGTTCAACACCGTCAGTTCTGGTGTGGCAGATATCTTCTACGAGCCATACCAGGGTCTGGTCATGACTGATAGACCCCAGGAGTTGGGTTACGGTATCGCAAAGGGTGCCACCAGCTTCGTGAAGAAATCCGTCTTTGGATTTTCTGACAGTATGGCCAAGCTTACTGGTAGTATGTCCAAGGGCCTGGCGGCTGCTACACTTGATAAAGAATTCCAAGATCAGCGGCGAATGTCCAAATCCCGGAACCGACCCAAGCACGCATTATATGGCATCACAGCAGGTGGTAATGCATTTGCAACCAGTCTAGCAAGTGGAATCGGAGGACTTGCCCGTCATCCACTGCAGGGTGCTGAAAAGGAGGGTATTCAAGGATTCTTCAAGGGTGTTGGAAAGGGTGTTTTAGGTTTGGCGACGAAACCTGCGATAGGCGCCTTTGACCTTGCCTCAAGTAAGTGCATACTACACTTTCGAAGCGAAACAGATACTGACTCAAAGTAGATCTGGCTGAGGGCGTGCGAAACACGACAACTGTATTTGATGCCGAGGGACTCGACCGTGTTCGTCTCACTCGCTTTATCGCCACCGATGGTATTGTGCGGCCCTACTCCCAGCGCGAAGCGTTAGGACAGTTCTGGCTCAAGACGGCCGACGATGGAAAGTACTTCAACGAGGATTACATCGCACACCTGGAACTTCCGGGACGGGACATGCTGGTCATGTTGACTTACGATCGGATTATCCTCGTGCGCACCAAGAAGCTGCGGACCGAGTGGGACATGCGGTTGACGGACATCCAAACTATATCCAAGGAGCGTACGGGTATGAGCATCACACTCAAGGGTGGTGCCAATGGCCCCTTCATCCCGGTTCAAGATGAAAGCTCCAGAAATTGGCTGTACAGGCAGATAGCAATCGGTGAGTGAACATACTGTCCAGCAATTGTTATGTAAAGATACTAACTTCATCTAGCCGTCAACGCCTTCAACGAGAAATACAATTCTCGCTGCTAAAAAAACACAATTCCTGTTTCTCTTAACGATGTTATGTCGGCTGATGGTTGGGTAAAATTTCCTACAAGGGTTGATTCAAAGTCCGATATGACATGAAATGGATGGTGAAAGGCAGAGGTTGTAATGATAACGCATTGCTATTATTCATCTTTTGGTCTCTTTCCCATGTTCCAGCAAATTAAGCGAGAACCGTTCTATTCGCGCAGCCTATCTTTTTTCATTTCTAATGATGTTTGTTAATGTGCATACATGCATTTACCTGATCCGCTACGCTGTGGTCAGTCCCTTATGTTAATTTTATAATCGATTTTATTCAGCTGCAAGCTACAGCACAGATGACTGCATTAGCAAGGACAGGAAACCGCTTGTCTCACACAAGAACAACAGGCATAGACAGCACAGAAACATAGAACCAACCCCCCTACTCGCTACTAGCCGAACACGCCCATATCCTATCCATATCCTATTGACCACACCCATTCAGTCAATCAAAATGGCCCCCCAGCGAAACATCCTGACACGGCAAGATCGGCCAACTATCATCCAACAACCTAATCGTAATCTTTCCCCGACTCTGCGTCAACTCCTCCACATACGGAGAGTAAATTGTTTGATAGATTCGTTGCACCACATTCCAGATAGTCTGTCTTCCCGGAGCATCGAACGTCCACCACGCCAGGTGGATTGGTCTCAAGTTGGTAATACCCACGTTACTCGTCTTGGAGTATTTTATGAACCCTTTGTAGAAGGTTATCATGTCGTCGCGAGTGGCCGCTGTGACGAGCCAGCAGCAGTAACTGCCCCTTGGTTCGATTGTTTGGACCATATAAGAGTAGTAGGGGCCATGGTGGTGGGGAAAGGTAGTTTGAGGCTGGACTTGGGTGGCGTCACCCATTGTGATGAGGATAATGTATGTTATTGATGGATTATGGGTGGGAGGGTGTTTGGCTTGGAATAGGAGTTTGCGTAATTTTATGATAAATCTCAAAGGTAGGTAGGTAGTTAGGTAGTTTCGGGACACACAAGTCGTTCGTTCAACTGGTGGGTTGTTTGGTGCTTTTATATCTATCTCACTTCTAAGCTGTGAATGTACCTTGGAAGGAAGGGGCTCGGATATTCTTCTTCTATGTGTCAATGAATCACTGCAGTGATTGGTGGAAATTAATGTCTTTTGGCGTGTGATGGTCGTCATTGAACGATGATGGATCTATGGTAGCTTTGCGCTGGATTCCGAGGGATGACTGCCCGGAGAGTCGACCTGGGCTAGAATCCGGTTGGCGTTCGAGATATTGAATGTGGGATAATTGACTACATAATAGTCATTCACAAGTAGTATTGTTGCTATCATGGCCTTTCTGGTTTATATATGTCTGTGGGTAGTAAGCTTGCATTAATGGCAGCATGAAACTGGTAGTAATCACGAATCGGACAGGACAGCTAGAGTGGCAATGAAGCATCTTGTTGTTCTGAGTAATTATTACTACTGATATTCTTCTTCTCTTAGTCTAGCTCGTACAGGAAGGTCTGGATAGACTCCTTGTCTTCAACATATTTGAGGGCGGTGCCGTTGCTCTTTGACATGATGGGACTCGACTTGCCTCCTGAAGTGGATTTCGAGCCCGAGATTACAACTACTAGTATGCCCAAAAATCCATGCAAGTGAAGTTCGTATTGAATTCGATGCACGCTATATGTACGTATGTGAATAATACAATAGTGCCAAATTCACCTGTATGCCTGCCACCCAGTCTTGGAACCAACGCATTTAGATTAAACAAGAAAAGAGATGAGGAGAAACAGTGGAGTAGACGCAAACGGACAGTCACGGTGAATACAAGGGCCGAGAAGGAAATCAAGATGGAAAAAGTCGATGGAAAAAGTGAAACGAGAAGAGACCAGAGCATTTGTTGAGGTGATGGTCATGATCTCACGACCACCGTATCAATGAGGTAGAAAAAGAGACAGGTTGATGATGGTATTGGGTAGTTTCTCGATACGTATGACACATGAGGACGAGGAAGGATAAGAGCAAAGAGGGCGGTGCATATCAAAACATTCCTATGATATTGTAGCTGTAACAGGCGATGATCGTAAAATAAAGGGGAGAATTAAAGGTAAAAGATCGCTTATTCCTGGACGGAATTTCCGCTGGTCACTGTAGGTGGTAGCCGGGCCGTCTGTAGGGCTTCGGGCAATTTCAGCGGCGCCGCGGGAGCTGATTGCAGCTTGTCGAGCTTTTCGCCTCGCAGAACCTTCTCCATCTCCTCCTTTGTCAGTGTCTCGTATTCGATCAAAGCTTTGGTTAAGAGCTCCAGCTCCTCCCGCTTCTCAGTCAGAATGTTGCTAGCGCGGACACGACCCTCCTCGACTAAACGACGGACTTCGGATTCGATCTCCTGCTTCGTTTCCGATGAGAGGCTGTCATAGTTGCTCGACAGGTCCACGTTTCCGAGCTTCTTGGAGTAGCCGAAACGGGTGACCAAGGTAAAGGCGGTTTCAGTGGCTTGTTGAATGTCCTATTACATGTCAGTGACTAAGTACTTTGAGCTAAGGGGTTAAACGTACCGCAGAGATTCCACTGGTCACTTTGTCGGGGCCGAAAACGAGCTCCTCGGCAGCCTTACCGCCCATGGAAACGTCGATATCCGAAAGGTATTCAGTGTAGTTTCTCGAGACCATGTCCATCTCAGGCAGGAAATGAGTCACACCCAGGGCCATGCCTCGAGGAACAATGGTGATCTTGTACAAAGGCGTAGAGGAAGGAGAGAAATAAGCAACGAGAGCGTGACCGGCCTCGTGGTAGGCAGTGAGGATTTTGTCCTTGTCTTGAATGATACGGCTGCGAGCCTCAGCACCCATCATGATCTTGTCCTTAGCCCAATCAAAGTCCTTCGGGCCAACCTTGGTTTGCTTGTTACGGCTGGCATAGATGGCAGCTTGGTTAACAAGGTTCTCCAAATCGGCACCAGAGAAACCGGGGGTACCACGAGCAATGACACCAACATCAACATCCATGCTGACCTGGACCTCCTTCATGTGGTGTCGGAGAATATCCATGCGACCACGGACGTCAGGAAGGCCAACAGTCACCTTGCGATCAAAGCGACCGGGACGCGTGAGAGCCTTATCCAGAAGTTGGGGGTAGTTGGTGGCGGCGATGATGATCACTCCGCTGCTTTGGGAGAAGCCATCGAGTTCGGTAAGCAGCTGATTCAAGGTTTGCTTCACGTAGGCGGCATCCCTCTCGTTCCTCTTGGCACCAATAGCATCCAACTCATCAATGAAGATGATGGCGGGGGACTTGCTGCGGGCTTGAGTGAACAATTCACGAACGCGCTTGGCGCCGACACCCACGTAGACTTCATCGAATTCAGAGCCAGACATGTAGAAGAAAGGGACACCAGCCTCTCCTGCAACAGCACGAGCCAGCAAAGTCTTTCCGGTACCAGGAGGACCAACCAGGAGAACACCCTTGGGCAGCTTGCCACCAAGCGAGGAGAAGCGATCGGGGTTAGTGAGAAATTCGACGAGTTCCTGAAGTTCTTCCTTGGCTTCATCGCAACCATGCACATCACTGAAACGGACGGTCTGCTGCTGAGGCTGAGCTTCGCTGTTCTGCGGGCCCCTGATGTTCTTCAGGGCACCAGTCGTTTCAACCAAGATTGTGATCATAACCAGAGACAGGTAAGCGAAGAAGGCGAAGTAGAACAGAAACTTGACCCATCTAAAGACAGCACTTCCGGTTGACTCCTCCACAACCACGTGCAGAGGATCTTCCTTGTTTCCAGTGCCAGTCTGCTTGACTGCTGAACCGTAGTGTGTAGAAGAACCGAATTGTCCACCGTGAAACTGGGTTGCGACAGCCTGACCGATGGCTTGCAGCCGCTCGGGGCTGACGGCCTGGCCGGACGCAGGAACTGACACCGCAGAGTCCACGCCGCCAACGCGTTGCAAGGCTTTCAAGTAGAGTTCGTCCGTAGCCGCATTCGTGGCGAAATGACCGCTTTTGTACCGTTCAACAACAATGGCAGGGTGGTTTGCACGGAGGAGGGCCTGGTAGAAAGCATTCTGGGCGTTTGCGCTGCTAGGATTGTTGTTGGCAGTCTTCTCCTTCTGCGCCAGCAGATTGTGAGAAGAACCACCAAAGAGAAAACGCTGTTGCTGTAACCGGGAGAGACCTGGTACTTGAGGGGCGTGGCGAAGACGGTTGACGGACATGGATATCGTGGAGTAGGAACGAGCAGAGGGAGAGGCAAGATGACGAGTAGCAAGAGACGGCGAGGTCCACATTGTGGTTCCTGGAAATGAAGTCAAGTTAGAGCAAGTCTTCCAGGTATAAAAAGAGAGATGTATACCATTGAGCAAGGAGCGAGACCATCCGCTTTGAGTGGTCTTGCTCAAGATGCTTGCCTTCAACGCCTCGGAAGACACAGTAGCCAGGAACTCCGGCAGCTGCACACCACTTGATTCCTATATGTATATCAGCGCACTAGCTCCATCATTATAGGGCCGACTGAAGAGACATACCGTGGAGGTTGCTTCCGCAACCGCGCGTTGGGAGGGCTGAGGGGCGGCATATCCGGAGCGGGAGGCGTGTTCGACGTTATTCCGGGGCGCATTGAACAACCGTGTCATTGACGGCCAGAGATCTGAAGTCACGGCCGCAAGACCCTGCCGGAGAGTCAATAGTTAGCGAAGGCAAGTTCAAGCGTGGACAGATAGCAAGACTCACCGGCTTGGGGAAGGGGACTTGGAAGGCCATGGTTGTCCGAACTAAAGCGGCACTTGGCCGCGACGTTGATGATAGTAACCCTTCGGCGCGATAGGGAGAGGGTGGGGCACAGTAACGATGACGATGAGATCAATCCTTAATCAAGATACATGCCATCCCCGACCACAACCAGACGACAGATTTGAGATGAAGAGAGGAAAGAAGAGAGGCCAAACCAATGACGATGCTTGGCTGGTCGTTGCTCGGCGGCGAAATTCGACTGCCGACCCGGTGCCCTGCCGGCTGCTGTCGCCCCCCGTAGCCAGTAGTGCTGCCTCTATGCCTCAGGCATGCAACATTCAATTCCACGCCATTCCCCAAACTTCCCCGCTCGCATGGACGGGTTCTAGAAGGCTGCACCACCAGAGCTTCCCGGAATTTTCCCGCTGTTGACACGGCCATCTATCTGGTATATCTGCGTCATGACTTCTTCAATCGTACTCATGCCATGACGACCATGGCCGCGCACGATCCTCAATCCACTTTCTGGACCGTATACGCAGTACCATACAACATGAGTCGTTGCCTGTTTACAACCCGTGGTTCAGATCGGATACCGATGACTAGAACATCATCATAGAGTCAAGCTCAAAGGTGCATCTTCTTTGTCACAAACTATCTATATAACGGGATACGCCCTTCAGACGCGTTCACAACGCAGCTGCGGATTAGATACTTTAATGCTCCTTCCTCTCTTGGCACCTTTGAATCAACTTCTATCTTTGACTCCCCAATCTGGACGGATCTCCGCAACGCGTTTGACATTAATAAGTTGGAGAGAGCAGCGAGCGGTTTTTTTTAACTAATATGCCCGTGGCATGAACCTCCGAGTCTCTATACGACACTTGTGATGTCGAAACGGACCATCTTCCTCATGGGTGCGCCCACGTTGAGAAATCTCCAATGGAATGAAGAGGAACTGCTGAACGCACCGATATCTCCATTCCATAGTCTGGATACACAAGACGTAGGCCATTGGCCTTTCCCCGATGGTCAGCCCGTGAAATGGAGACTATTGCAGGATTTGCGCAATCCAGGGCTGCTCCCAGAAATTTACAGGTGGGAGCCCGGTCGAGATGCTCGCTTCCTCACTATACAGGACATTGCAGGCTCTGATGGGACATCGCGGACAAAGCCGGACGATTCAGTGCTCTCGCAGTTCTACAACCATTCATTTACCGTTCACGAAACCTCGGAGATCTCGACTCCGGGGTTTCACTCTGGAGACTCCATGCGCAGTAGTGGTTTGTCGGCCGGGACTTCTTTTGCGACAAGCAGCGAGAGGGACGGGCCAACACCAGGGTTACCGATCCAAGGACCCCTCACCGACCTCCGGGATATCCCCACTGCGGCGTATCTGAATTCGATCGTGCCGCAGACGATGACGGTGAATCTGATTGTGGCGATAATCGCCATCCACCCTCCCCGGCGGGTGGTAACGCGGCAATGGAAGCAAGAGCTGGATCTGGTTGAGATGGTGGTTGGGGATGATACAAGAAGTGGGTTTGGGGTTACGTTCTGGCTTCCTCCTGTGAATCATGCGGTCATGGCTGGGGAAGGTGACGACGAAGGGGAGGCGCTGGGGGTGTCGCTGGCAACGCTGCGTCCCCGGGACATTGTTCTGATGCGGATGGTAGGACTGAGCTCCTTCCGGGAACGGGTATACGGGCAGAGTCTGAGGAAAGGGGTCACGAAGGTTAACCTGCTGCACCGGCAGCGGGTCGACGTAACCGAAGCAGGCGGGCTCTACAGTGCGAAGCAACTCCGGGATATTCAACAGGACCCTGCAGCCAAGCGTGAGGAAGATCTGCCGCTGATGAAGGTGAGCAAGGTGCGCGAGTGGATCAGGAGATTTGTGTTCGATCCGGTAGGCGGTGATGGAGGCCGGGGAACTTTTACACGTAGCTTGGCTGGAAAGGGCCAGTCACTGCCCCCAGACACGCAGGAGTGAGCAGGCAAGCAGGCAGAGAGTGATGATTTATATATAGAAATGGCCTGGAGTAAGGTCTACTGCCTACTGCTTTATATACTGGCTGGGAATCAAGTCTCTTCCCTAATATATCTAATTTCTCGATTCATTATGTTCCTTGTTCAACCTGCAGTTCTGAGGCGCTCCTGAAACCTGCCACCAGCCTTAATGAACCCGTGACTACAACTGGGGGCTACTAGGAAAGGGCGGCAACAAAGAAACCGGATGATCAGGAGACACGGATGGAATTGATGCTTATTCCTCCTGCATACATTCTGGGTAACCCGCTAAGGTAGGTACTACGCTGTGTGCTAAATTGAAGAGGGAATGCAACCCGACAGTGTGAACGCCATCGGTGGCCAAGTTACTACCAAGTATGAGGCCACCCTTTCATTGGATAATGTGATGGCACTAGGGAGTTCTGGATGGGTTACTAGTAGTTTTTTTTTGTTCTTTCTTGCTTTCTTTTTTGCCTTTTCCCATTGACGATAAAATTTACTTAGGGAGATATGCACGTACTGCGTCAATCGTGCGTGCATCAGCTGTAATGTAAGTCTACTTGATTTTTATTATCATGATCATGATCATGTTATGCAAGATTTCGTAACCTGAAGCAAGAATGGCATAATATCACCAACCTCATAACTGATCATAATTTTAAAAAAGAGTTCAATAATAATTAGTTAATAAATGTAATTAAGATGAAGACTACAACATTTTATGGAGCTGTAAAGATAATTCAGGGGGCACTGCTGCCCCACTGGGGGCACCTGAACCCGCCGCAGTGATTAGTTGGTTCTAGGCCGTACGATACCCGACTAAACCCTAAGCGGCAGAACCTGCTGGGCGAAGTGGCGCCGCCGCAAACGTGCGCAGGTTGAACCCGGTGTTCCTGGCGAGTACCAGTGAGTGCCAGTGAGTGCCAGTGAGTGCCATCTTCAAGTCACAAGGCTGTAACTCTGCTACACACTGGCCGGTTTAAGGGGTCTTGCCAGTGACCTCTTTTTTTGACTTGCCCATAACTTACCGGCCCGTACATACACAGCCATTACGGCCCGCTCTCCCCGAATCGCAACGCCAGGTGGTCTCCTCTTTCTCTTTCTGCCTTCCTCTCTCCTCCTCCTTCTCCTCGTTCTTATATTATATCCCGACCGTTCTTTTTTCCTCCTTTCCTTTCCTTTCTCTTCCCCGTCTGTGACCATCCGCTTCAATCAATCAATCAATCGATCAATCTAATCTCTCCAACGTCCCCATCTTTGGATCGTTGGAACAACTGCTCCCTCCTCTTTCATACATACACTCTCTCCACCTTTCCTTACTACCCCCCCTCTTCCGTCGGCGGGCTTTTGTTCCACCTGTCCAACTCGTTCTTTGCTCCGGTCATTCGTTTGGAGCGAGCCTCCCGATCGCTACTCTACCCTACAATTAATACCTCCCTACAGCAACCATGAAGGGTATGTACCAGACTATCTAATTGTCACTTTGGACTCGCTGACTTTTGACTATCTAGCCCTCATTCTCGTTGGCGGTTTCGGTACCCGTCTGCGTCCTCTGGTGAGTTGATCACCCCCGCCGACGATCGTGACGTCGAACATACCAGTCGATTCATGGACGGGCCGTGGAAAAGCGCACACAAGCTAACCGTTCTCAATGCTGCCTAGACCTTGACCCTCCCTAAGCCTTTGGTCGAATTCGCCAACCGGCCCATGATCCTGCACCAGGTTGAGAGCTTGGCTGCTGCTGGTGTCACAGATATCGTCTTGGCCGTCAACTACCGCCCCGATGTTATGGTGTCGACCCTGAAGAAGGTACAATTGCCCTAGCTGCACGGATTGCCATCCGCGAATGCTCACAGCCGCCCCTAGTACGAAGAAATCTACAATGTCAGAATCGAATTCTCTGTGGAATCCGAACCCCTCGGCACGGCTGGTCCCCTGAAGTTGGCGGAGAAGATTCTGGGCAAGGACGACAGCCCGTTTTTCGTCCTGAACTCCGATATTATCTGTGACTACCCCTTCAAGGAGCTGGCCGAGTTCCACAAGAACCACGGCAACGAGGGTACCATTGTGGTCACCAAGGTCGACGAGCCCTCCAAGTACGGTGTTGTCGTCCACAAGCCCAACCACCCCTCGCGCATCGACCGCTTCGTCGAGAAGCCCGTTGAGTTCGTCGGCAACCGTATCAACGCCGGTATCTACATCCTGAACCCCAGCGTGCTGAACCGGATCGAGCTGCGCCCCACCTCCATCGAGCAGGAGACCTTCCCCGCTATTGTCAAGGACGGCCAGCTGCACTCCTTCGACCTGGAGGGCTTCTGGATGGACGTTGGTCAGCCCAAGGATTTCCTGAGCGGCACCTGCCTCTACCTCACCTCCCTTGCCAAGCGCAACTCGAAGCTGCTCGCCCCCAACAGCGAGCCTTACGTGTATGGCGGCAATGTCATGGTCGACCCCTCCGCCAAGATCGGCAAGAACTGCCGCATCGGCCCCAACGTGGTGATTGGACCCAATGTGGTGGTTGGTGACGGTGTGCGTCTGCAGCGCTGTGTTCTGATGGAGAACAGCAAGGTCAAGGACCACGCGTGGGTCAAGTCGACCATTGTTGGATGGAACAGCTCCGTGGGCCGCTGGGCTCGTCTGGAGAACGTTACTGTGCTGGGTGACGATGTCACCATCGCCGACGAAGTCTATGTCAACGGTGGTTCCATCTTGCCCCACAAGAGCATCAAGCAGAACGTTGATGGTGAGTGAATTGTCTACAATCACATGGCTCATTGCTAATTCAAATCTCTAGTTCCTGCTATCATCATGTAATCCTTTTGTCACGTCGACATGCCCTTCACCTTCGATATACACCACCTACACTGAAGTCACCAGATGCATAGAAACCGGAGTTGATCGTGTCTTTCTCTTTCGAGCAGTGTAGAACCCAGAGGGGGTTCTAGACAACAGGACGCTGCTTGGATACAATGCGGTCTACGCCTCTGAACCATCTCCCACTCGCACCCGTCCATTCTTACCTTCGTCTTGTGCTCGTCCGTGTCCGCATGCTAGAGGCCTTGATGGTAGAAGCGTGTCTGATTCGGGTCATCCTTACATCCCTTATAATCAATCCGAGGTCTTTGATCTCTTACCTTGTTCTCCCGCATCTTTCTCCGACGGACTGTGTGTCACCAGTGCTGTTGCTTCTTTTATTTACCGGCTTTTTCTTTCTGCTACCTTGTTTCCCCGGGGGATGGTGAGCACATGGACTAATACTCTATCTGATTTTAATGACGTATGTGGACATGGTTAAAGGAATGTAAATACGGGAGGCAGGATCAGAAAAACAATCTTATTATCTCTATTACTCTATTCCTCTATTATAGATGCAGTATACAGATGCAGATGCAGTATGCACTATGCCCGAACTCATGCACCAGATTATCCCACAAAACTAAGCAGCAGCAGCAGCAGCAGCAGCAGCAGCAGCACCCTCCTCCCTCTCCAAAATCTCCTCCCACTGCACCCTCAACTCCTCCATCCCCTGCCAACACTTCCTCCCCAACTCCTCAAACTCGACTTTATCCTCCGCGGTCAAATCCCTCGCTCCACGCTTCCTCCTCCGCACCCGATCCTCCATCACCACCGCCTCCCCAACCACACCCCCATGACCCCAACCATCCACCTCCGTCGAAACCGCCTTATCCCTCCCCAACCGATCACACGATGACCCCCATTTCACCTTCCCGCCCCCATGAGCCCGATACACCTCCTCCGCAGCATCCAGCTCCTCCTGTCGACTAATAGCCAACCACGTCGGCGCACACGCCCCCGCATACGTCGACAGCGTATGCCACGGCGACCCCAGCAACCGGGCAATATAAAACGACGCGATCATGCACCAGAACAGCGGCAACGCCAACGGGAGGATGCCCGTTCCACACACGCCAGGGTGCGAGAGATACATGCGTGGCTCCTCCCCTTCACCACCCTTCTCATCCACATTATCACCCCGCTTGTCAGGGGGATTATAAAACCCCTGCACCCACTTCCTCGTAGAGGGCGTCTCCGCCGTGAGGGCAAGAATATCCGTAAGCGTCTTCGAACTCTCATACGGCACAGTCGACCTCAACCCCTGAATATCCTCCACATTGAAATGATTCACGGTGGCCTCGATACTCGAAACCCAGATGACGCGGCCCGGCTGGGTAGATTTCCGGAGTAGGCCCATGACGCCATGCGAGAGCATGTAATGTCCGAATACGTTCGCCGTGAAGACGCTACCCAGTCGGGGCTCGTCAGGCTGTGTGGTTTGAGGCGGGGTGATCATCCCCACGGGCGCGATCTTGTGCGCGAACCATGAGACGCTGTGCACGAGATCGGTCAGAGTCCCCCAGATTGCGCGCGGCCAGTCGATTCCTGTCCATCCGCCGATGCCGGCGTTGAGGACGATGGAGTCGAGTTTGGGGAGGGTTTGGGTGAGGCGGGTGGAGAGTGCGCGGACGGAGGGGAGAGAGGACAGGTCCACGGTTTCGGGGTGGAGGGTTATTCTGCTGGATGTGGTGGGAGAGGAGATTGGGGGGAGGAGTGTTTGCAGGTGGTGAAGGGTCGAGGAGGCTTTTTTGGCGCTTCGGGTGGTGAAGATTATGGTTAGGTGGGTGGTGGGTGGGTGGGTTGTGAGGAAGGTGTTTATTAGGCGCGCGCAGATGGCGAGGCCGAGGCCGCTGGGAGGTTGGTTTGTTAGATTGATTGTGAGGTTGTTTGGGGGGAGGGATTGAAGGGGTGTGCTGGTGGTCATGTAGGTTGTAGGGTTGGGAGGGTGCAATTGAGGGATGGGTACCTGTTTGCGCCGGTGACTAGGACGTAGAATTGGTTGTCCAGGTCATGCTGAGGTGGTTCGGCCATTGTGATGGGCCTGATTCTGGTGGGTTGGACGGAATTGGGCCGGGTTGGAGGTGAAGCTGGTGCTGGATAGTTGAGGATTGATTGGGGATTGTATAAAACTCCGATAAGGGGTGATTACATAAGGGTTGATAGGGACTGGGGTCATGTGATTGGGATGTATTCAGGTACGTTGTGGGGAGCAGCATGGTGATTTTACTTAGGTGTATGGGAGATGATAGTGAAAATGATTTATGGGAGTATAACTGGGAATGTTAATGGTGGGGAGTTCTGTGGACAATAACCCCGGTCTCATACTACATAGCATATGGCATATGGATGGTCTGAATAGCTTCACGACATACCCAATCTAGTATACAATGGAATGCTTATATTATCGTTAACAGTACACAATAACATAACATATCAGCATCGATTGCAAAATACACATGAAAGAAAACTTCTGTAAGAACAACTACATACCCACCTCTTCTTCCCAATCTACCTCCAATTTATCACCTACTATACTACTAGTATATACTTCTACAGATCCACTCACCCACCCTCATGACCAAAACCCACCAAATAATCCTATCAAATAACATGATACAGCTTACACCTACAAACCTCACCACTCACAGTCACCCTCCAACTTACCATCTGTTCCTCCCAAACCTAAAGCCAACCGCCCTCAGACGACCCAACCAACCAAGCCCCCTGTCACCTCGTATACCCTCCTCTTCATCTGATATATCATTATCCGACGAGGTTGAAGTTTATTCTTGCACACACACATGCACACGACGATAGTAGGCGATAAGTTATCAGCATCATCAGCATCATGCGGCTCTTACACTCATCCATCATCGCCACATACCCTGATAACAGAATAAAATGGTCAAAAAGCTTAAACTATAATTAGTGTTAACGAGTGAGTGGTTTATGATTTAGATAACAAAACAGTTAGTTAGATGTGATGTGATGAGCTGGTCTTACTCATACAGCATGATCATGATCTTGCCACTGCGCATACTGCACATAGTACATACAACTAATTATCGAATGAGAAGTGTATGAATAACCAATATCTATGTAGGAGAGTAAGTATCAATATGTAGAACCAAAGTACCAGTGGCAAAAAACGTTTCTTTCTGCATTAACCCAACTCACCATACATATCTATCTCACACATACCATACCTAGTACCTACTTACCACATCCACATCCACATCCACATACATACATATACATATACATATACGGCTAGCTAAAAACCTACTTACCAGATGCCTCGTCGGTGCCTGACACCGACACACATCTAGATCTATCTGATCTAGAAGCAACCTCTCCACCCCCTCAGAACTAGGCAGAGATGCATCAACAGTTAAATTTACATAATGAGATAAGTTGAGGCATAAATGGCTGGGCTGGCTGAAGGGGCTAGACGCCTCCCAGGTGCCTGTCAAAGTCTAAGTTAAGAACAGGAGAAGGTGGTATGCATGTATGTATGTATGTGTGTGTGTGTGTGTATTTGTTCGGGATTTGGTAAATAGGTAGGTAATGTTTTGTTCGGGATGTGGTTTGTGCAGATGGGGTTGATGCATGGAATTGGGAGAGAATGTGTGGAAGGATAGTTTTGATTGAAGATAGAGAGAGATGGTGTATTGGTGGTGGTGGTGAGGCTCCAGTATACTTTTACTTACTGATGTAGGTGAAGCGTGGACAGATTCACTAACTATTTAGGTAGTTTGTTACAATGGTTGATATCGAGCATTGGTAAGCAGTAAGCAAGCTAGCTAGCGACGAACGATAAAATGAATAGATAACTATTACTGTACTCGGTATGGGGCTATGAGCTTGAGCTATATGGACAGTCTGATATAAGCAGCTACTATTTCAGACGCGGGGGCGTCCATCCAGAACACTCGAAAAGGGCAACCAGCGCGGGTTTGCGAGTCTGCGAGTCTGGAGAGACAGTGACAGCGCCACCAGCTAAACTAGTTCCGAATCTGACAGGCGAGGCGTCAAGACGCGAAGGAATAACCCGACCATTTTCACCAAATCGGGGTCAGCCCGTCAGCACCACACGCCTCCCCCCTCTTTCGTTATTATTTTGATTTGCTTAGCAAACAAGAACAAGCAGCGGACCTATCTAACCCAGACCTCTGTAGACGAGCTCACATGGGGTTTGCCCAGCCTGTCATGGTGTGGATTATGGGGTTGTTTTGACCAGGATGAGACACAGCCACGCCCGAACAGCTGCACCCTGTCATTAAAGTTTGGGGGTGGAAAAAGGTTCAATCAGATCGTCAACTGAGCTCGGTTGAATCTACCAGCCGCCCATGACCAATCAGTGTCGCGCCTGCATAGACAAAGTGGAAAGGGAGGCAATGCCGGAATTAGCAAAAGAACGACTGTTATTCAGGGCTGATGTTGATGGGCGACGCGCGATCTCTGCAAGCGAACCAATGCAGTAGCAACGCCGATTGATCAGAATATGGGATATCTTTTTTTTTATTTTCTCCCTCATCAGGCTGTCGATTCCATCCATCCACAGCGGCCTCTGCAATAGCCTATTCCAGAATCCAGACCGTATCGAAGCCGGGGACCTGCAAGGGGGGTGGGTAGAAAGACGCGCCCAGGAAAATCCACGCTTACCCGGCGCGCTGCTAACGGGATAACTTGTAGTGGAAGCAGACTTATTCTTGGCCAGAAAATAAAAAACACTTCCAGGATGGAGGGGAATGAAGTGGCCCAGTGACGAGCACTCACCGACTTATTGGGTTATTTCAGGCTTACGAGGGACCGGGGTGGATGGATGGATGTTAGTAGACTAGTGATGCTTCCGTATAGTAGCGGTGGCCCGCGGGAAGGAAGGAGGGTGTGTGGGTGAGGAGACAACAGAATTAAAGGAGGGTGAGCCATGAGTAAACCAGCATCATTATTGAAAGCCGGCTGATCGAGTCGCTGCCCGGTTCTTGGCTATCTCGTAAGGCTAACATGGTCGTGCAATCATCATCTGCGCCTGTGGCAGCTACGGTTGCGATTCGCTTGGAAAATGTCGCGATTGAGATTAATCCCCCTCCATGAAGCCGGGCCGAGAGCAGCCGTTTGAGCAGGCAGGCCACTGGCAGAAAGCATGCGTGGCCAGAGCTTGCGTTGACCAGGCGCGCTGATTCCTTGGGATTGGGAGTTATGTATGCACATCGGAGATTTTTCTGGGCAATTGGATGCCTATCGTCCGAGATGCCGAACGCATGTATGTCTAGCATCGTCAGGGAAAGAACAGGTTAGTGGTGAGTAGGCTAGTGGCTAAGTAATCTATCGACCTGGTTAGTTAGTTTAGTCGTGGTTAGTTAGTTGGGAGTAGTCTAGCGGCCGGATGCAATGCCCTGGTGCGACATCGCGTATAGCACCGTTGCGCATCATGCTTTGAGCAGATAGAGACTCATTAGTGAGCAATGGATTAGTCCAATCTAGTCGGTCGCTCATATGGGGAAGCGGAGTATACGGATGGGTCCGCTAAAACACCGGCGCAACACAAGAAAAAGGGTTGGACAAATCGAAGCTCCGCCAGTCCACCAGCGAATTTCTGGATGTGATGAGCTGGAATTTCTTTCCGACATCCACCCGGCCGGAATTAGCGCCCAACTGTCCACGGCTAGTACTGCTACTGCGCGTCATCCATGTCGCCCTCTCCCCTTCTCCCAGATGATAACCAGGCAGCGGTGACGGAGATAGGGCTAGAGAAGTCCGAAGTCGACATCTCATAGAGTATACTGAGACACTGACGGACGGAGGATGGGCGATTGATTTCCTTGGCCTGAGGCGGATGGGCAGCAATGAGCAATGAGTGGAGGAGAAGGGATATTAGACAGAATTAGTGAGGAAGCTAAGTCGAGAGTAGTCCTGCCTTGCTAAATATACTAGCAGAACAGTAGTATATATTATAGTAGTGTAGTAGATGAAGGTTACATACATTGCTCTTTCTAATGTGCGATTCCCAGTAAGTGTCGGTCACTAGTACTCCGAAAGACTATACTAGTAGTAGTAGACCACGAGCCGGGGTGGCACTGCTCCGGATCATCCACAATGATAATTAAAACGAGGTTGATGGTAAGTAGAGATGATGACGGCAGACAGAGGAATTGAATAAAGGCAGGAATGAAGCTGCGTGTGACAGACGGTGCTAGAGACTTGCTAAAGATGCTCCCGAGCGACAATCTTCCCCCAATGCGGGGTATGTAGAAGAGGAAAAGGACGAGGCAACCAGCAGCAGCTCCCGATAGAGAGCGAGTCAAGGCTGGAGGATTTCATTTCCCCTTCCATCTCCTCCCGACCATCTGACACCCGTCCGGTTTCCTCTTTGCCAGCATCAACACTAGACCGGGATGTTCATTACTAGAGGTTACCACTTACCAAGAAGTGAAGGGGCATAACTTTCCTCTCAGTCATGAATGCCCTTCTTCTTCCACTTTGCGTTACGTGTAGTTACTAGTCACTAGTTACTAACCCATTTCTTTTTTTGGTCCCTCTGTCTGACAGCCCAGCCTTATTCGGGATATACTATCATTCAATCAACTTCACCAGACTTGTAACCATCCTGGTGTATCACCTCGGAGTTCCTTTCTCCTCTCGCTTCATACTACTAACTAACCAACCTTCTCTCCCCCCAGCCTATCTCTGTTTAGTCTGGTATGATTAATTGGTTAGTAGTTAGACTAATTGTAGCGTGGCCATGCATGAATTCCTAAAGCACTGCCCACACTTTCTTTCACACCCACCTCATTCATCTCCTCCCTCCCATCTCTTTTTTTTTTTTTTTTTTTTTTTGCTTTCCCTTCCCTCATCCAGCTTACGCATCACGAATCACGAATCACACATCCCACCCCCTGGTGGGAACAAGCAACCCACCACTTAATTTCGGTCGAGCTCGGTTAACCATGTGTCTGCTCTACTGGCGTTACGTCAATTGCGACCGGGGACAAGGGTTCAATTTCAGTTCCCAGCGAGGAGAAGCCGCTCAGACACATGATGCCGCCGGTCTGCGACTACGGGTTTACCGCGGCGGATGAACCACCGACCAGGTGCCTGGGATTCCTTTCCCCAGTGCTAACGGAAGCTGTTGTCTCAGGTTGATGGAGGAGACTGTAAGCTGGTCGACGTCATCGTCCTCATCATCGTCATCGTCCCCTCGATCTGGTCGACGGATGCAATTGCATGCCAGTTCGTGTGGCACGAATGCCCATCCCTCCTCCTTCTCATCCTCCTCCACACCCTCGAGGCCGGATGTTTTTCCCCTCCTTTCCCGTTCGTTAGCTGCCACGCCAGTTGACCGGGGAGATCTTCCCAAAAAGCGGAGAAGCAGTGTCCATCTCTCATGGCAAATCAAGGTCTTGCAATCACCTTATGCGAACATTGCCTTTTCCGGCCTCGCTTTTGCTTTCTTTCTTTATCACTGTTACCCCTCGTCTTGTCAATCCATTGCCCGTCCCTTGCTGATTTGTTGTTTCGTCCATTCCTCCCCCCAATTCCATTCTCCCCCTCCCTCTTCCCCTCGCCGTTGGCCAATTTCCCCCGGCCGGGTGCTAGAGTAGACACTTCAATCTTTTCGCCCATTTGACCACATGCAAGTCACGCCATTAGCCCGTCTACAGCTTTTGGGTCTTAAGGATCGGCGACTTACAGCATGGTGCAAGCCCTGGCGTCACTCCCGCATTGCCAGTGATGCGACCAGCTGTCAGCTTTGGGCTTTCATTGACGGGTCTGTCCAGTAAGGTTCTGGGTGCCGGTCGACCTGGAGGAGCTGTCATGTATCTGTGGTGGCACCAGACTATAATGTAGATAACCCTACTTCCTGTATACCGGGAATATGGGGGGTGCCGCCACTAGCTCATCTTCTCGACGGCTCATTCGGCGATACCGTCACAAAGTCAGGCCTCCCTGTCCGTTGCATTGCGTAGATGTACCTGGTACATGTAGGGGCCAAGTAGATTACCAGCCCATCTGTAATCTATTCAATTCCTCGGCCTCGTGATAGCGAGCAGGGTACTCGCAAAAATCACCCCCGTCGCTAGTTGGCACGCTGTCTGCCTCATATTTAGTGCCATATCAGATCAGACCAGAAAAACGCGGATGATAACGGAATGAGCAACCCCCCTCCATGGCTCGGCTTGGGCTCACCTCGCCAGCACCGGATCGGTTAGCAGGAATTCCTGTTGGGGCGGGGAACTACACACGATTGCTTACACGTACGCCTATCTGCCCTGCCCCCTGCCCCCCTGTGTGCTGACGACCAAGTCATTGCTGGTGGATTGCCCCAGTCTCAGATGACTCGCGTTTAATAAGTTAGTCATAATCCTGCTGGGTTAGCTCATGGACTGGTGCGGAAGTTAGTGAGTATAAGCCTATGGCGCCACTACGGGAGTCAACTGGAACCAAGAAGTGCCGCCCGGACGAGGAAAACCTAAAGGAAAAAGCAATACGAGCATCGATGGAAGCACACCCTACCAGTCGAATACTGCCCCCTCGTACATTTCTTGGTAGCCAATTCCCGATCGAAACGGCCCCCTTGGCATTCACTGGGCTGGCCATAGGCGGTGTCCCTAGTCTTCTAGTTACATGATTGTGCCTGACTCAGAGTGGTGGCTCAATAGCCTAGTGTGGTATAAGCTCCATAACAATTCGGAGATCCCGGTCGTGCAAACCCCGAAAAACCCTCCCAGATGACAGACGGGAATTGAAGAGTCGACGGGCAGACCAAAGCCCGCGATTTGCTGGAAGGACTTCCAGACGAAACTCTATCGTGTGCAGACGATGATCTATCGAGTGCGTGCTATAGACACTATCGACTGTTAATCGCTATCTTCGCGTGTATGTCGTACGTATCTAGCCGCTCTTCAAGTGCGATGGGTCTCGGGCTTCCAGGGTCCAAACCATGAATGGCCAAAGTCTAAGTAAGCGTATTAAACGGCCTCTGCTGGTAACAAGCGGGCGGCGATTGTTTTGGCCTGCCTGTTCCATGGGTTCGACCCGCTGCCACTATTCGAGATCCACTGGTGCTAGTCGACTTACAGTTCAAAGCCTCACGGCAGTCCGTGAGCCTGGTTAAAGTAAATGGAAGATCTATCCATGTATCACCCGCCGATTCTATCGAGGAAGTGTATCCCGAGCTTGTTCAGTCGGCCACAATCAATAGGAAAGTAGGCAGCCCCTATAGTTCGCTATCAACGACGAACAGACAGCTTTCACGCCAGTCTCTTGGCTCCAGCCTTAAAGATTTCAACTGATCGTCATGAGCTTAATTGGCTCCGATGGTCATGACTGCCATCATATCATATTAATAATTAATATCGCCGTGGACGGGCGGAAGGAGGGGGAACGGGACGACGAGTGAATCCCGCTGGTCCCTTGTCGGGGACCCATCACTGATGGAGCATTACAGACCGCGATCCAGATGAATTTCTTGAAGCCGCCACGTGGAGTGAACAAAGGCATCAATATCACTCAAAACAGCTGATAGAGGCTTGATGAATCGCTCCCTTTGAGTTTACGGCTGGCTGTCATCCAGCAATCGAATCGGTAGAATAGCCGCATCATGGAGCCACCGAGAATATCGTGGCGTTGGGGGCGTTGTCCTCGTTGTTTCTCCCAAGAAAGATAGCCCAGAAGTACGTCCAATAGCAACAGATGAAGGTATCATGGCCACTGCCAGTAGGAGATCTACTGCCTAAGTAGGTAAGGTGAGTAGGACGATTGTGGTTTGGAGTGAGGCCGATAGCAGACCCTGGGGATAGCTGCTGCTCTGGGCCAGTTTCAGCATAATACCTGCCGGCCCAGAAGGGAAAAGCCACACTTTTCGGTTGTTGCATCGCTGGTATCCCTTGCTGATAATTTCCGATCTGTGCTGCCTGGTCGGCCGGCTGGTCTGACATTGTTCTTTGTCCCATTTGGCTTTCAATACTTTTTTCTTCTCTGTCTTTTATTTCCCCTTCCGTCTCTTCCCTCTGTTGATGCCTTTTTTGCTGGACGGCCGACATCATGATCATTTTTGGGGGGTAAAGAAGGGGCCGTCAGGAACTTAATTCCAGCAACAATTGTTTGGAGGGCATGGCTCCTACCACCTTGGTACAAGGATTGACGGGATATCCTTTCCCGGCATCTTGGCAAGAAAAATAAATAAATCAATGAAAGCAAGAATTACATGAATGAAATAGAAAAACAAAAATAAAAATAAGTAACGACAATGTACATAGTAATAGTCATAATTGGAGTCAGTACGAGAGTAGGAATAGATTATGATCATTTTGGGTAGGTACGAAGTAGTACTAAGTTAGTTCCATCGGTTAGCCCACGACCTAATCAGACCTTCCATCTTACACATACCTACTCCTACCTCCCTTTTCACTGTCGTACAGAATATCCCATACGTAGACACTGCTTGTTGTATTGGCGTGACCATGCTGTGATCCGCCTCAGCTCTGACTCCTTTGGAGCGCCGTGCAATTGTCTTCGGTCGTAGTTCTATCCAGAATGTTATATGGCGAACTACCGTCTCCTCTAGCATCATCGACTTGTGGTGAGTGAATTAGAAGAAAAAGTAATTTAAAAAGATGGACGGGCAACTACCTACTACCACTGAGTACCCTTACCTAGTGGAAGTACCTAAGAGGAAGGTACCAGGGACGTACGTGTCAAGGTACCTGTCAGTAATTTTGACCCGCGAAAGATGGTCGATACAATCCCGTTACAGTAAGCGATACTAGCGGTCCGTCGAGGTTTTGCAGCCAGGATGCAGGCAACTAGACCATGTTTAGACTAGTAGATTTCTTCCAAGGCCAGGCTCTCTCTCGGTCGCCGATGATTGGCCGAGTCTATATCCTAACCTTTCAGCGTTCTAAGGCACAAGCGGACAGGGTGGGGATCGGTGTTCCCCTCTTCCCCCAAAGCCATCTTGACCGGAAGACGGTTCAGTAGGATGGGAAACCTTGGGTCTTGGGTAACTTTGTCTGGGGGTTGCTAGCTCCAAACTTCCACTCTTTCTTCCCCCCTCCTCTTCTCTTTCCCTCCCGAACATCAAATCGACAAGCGGGACCCAGATAGCCTTGGCCTGTCAGTCAGTCTAAAAGAGATTCCTAATTAAAGTGCCACTGCTTGGTGCCCGTATGTAAGTATGTAAGTCTGTATGTACCTAGTACTTGGATACCTCGTTTGATACCGAGTGTTTCCCTCCTGACCTCCAGGGTTGACAGTAGTAGGTAAACATGGTAAACCCATGTTCAGTAACGATGGGGTAAGAAATACTTAACAAAAAAAGAAAATAAGAACAAAAATAAAAACGTTGACTCTTGATTTCTTCTTTTTCTTCGTCTTTCACCTCCACTTTTGTATAGGGTGTGGAATTTTTCTTTTCTTCTTTTCTTTATTGTTTTTAGTATTATTCTAATTTCCGCTTGTGTCCATGTCGGTCTGGTGAAAGAAATCCCACAAGTGGTCCAAAGGAAATACTTCAACATAGTATAACCCGATCTTTCCGGGGTAGGGGTAGGGGTACAGGAGAAAAAAAGTGGCCAAGTCTCAAGCTAGCCCGGCCGGGTTACTGGCCAGAGGGGAGCTCCACCGGCAGGAGGAGACCAAGAGGAGGTTCCAATTTATTATTTGATTACCGCTGGACAGTAGTGAAGGAGCTTAGCAGCCCGTAGTAGCTGCTAGGTACCTACTAGGTAGAGCCAGAACGATGCGGCGTTATAAAAATTACACGGCCTGCTCACGAGAGCCGGAGAGGCAAAACGAGGAAAATAAAAACGAACAAGAGCTTCCATCCCATCGGCCAGTCAGCTAGCTCTTTTTTCTTTCCTCTCTTCGTGCAGTAAACTAATCCTCCTCATCTGGCTCGTCGAGTATTTCTTTTCCATCTGCCCCATCTGGAGCAGGTGTTCTTGACTTTCTCGTCTTTTTCTCTCCCCCATCTTCGACCTTTTTTATTTTATTTTCTCTCTTCTCCAACAGCCATCATCATCATCCCTTGACTTGGGGTCTGGCTTGCGTACCTGGAAGGAGAACCGCCTGAGACCCGCAGCAGCAGCTGTCTGTGTCTGTCTGTCTGTCTCTTGTATCACAGAAACGTTGCAACCTCGCCCGGACCGACCAGTATTACTACTGAACTACATCTGAGAAATCCGTTGGGATCGTGCTTTGCACTTTCTCTTCTACTTCTCTACATCTCTCCCTCTCTCGCCTCTTCGTCATCGCGTCACTTGTTGATTTTTATTTCGCACTGCGTGTTCGTCCGTGATTATTATTTTTATTATTATCATTATTATTATTAGATCCATTGCTAGGTACGTCTGGAATACCTCCCTGTCGGCTATGCTGGACCTCCAGGGCCAGCCTCACCTCCATCCATCCACCTTCACTACTGCGCTTCCCCATTTGATCCATCATTCGGTCCTGCGACTTGGCTGCCAATCGACCTGCCTGTCCAGACCTCCAATGATTACTGTCGAGGCTGCATGCCGTCGGACTTAATTTGCAGTGACATTCCTGTTCCCTCCGCTTGTCCAGACCTCCTTCCCTCTTCCTTCTTTTCCCCTCCCACCCGCTCTCCTATTTTCCCTCCACCATAGCTATTCTTACTACTACGGGCCATACTTCCATCCGTTCTCCCTCCCCCCTCTGTCGCCTGTACGGTTTCTTGTCGTGTTTGTCTGCTCATACTTTATTGCAAATTCATTTGTCCTTGCTGCCACTTACTTTCTGCTTCTTTTCCGATTCGTTTTCATTTCATTGCATCTCTTCTTATCTTCCTGGAATCCGTTGTTTGCTCCCTGTGTTCCTATCGCTAGCCGGCCCACTCACTCCCCGCTATCCTTCTTGCGACTCACCTCTTCAATAGCTTTTGATTTGCACTTGCATTTCCTCACCATGGCGCCTGGTGGTGGACGAGATTTTAACTGCACCTGGGAGCATTGTAATAAGGTATGATACACCTTCCACTCCATCGCTTGCTTGAAGGCGTTATAGTTTCCGTGCTAATGGCAGTAGTCCTTCAATCGCAAATCAGATCTGTGCAGGCACTATCGGATACACACCAATGAGCGACCGTATCATTGCACGGTCAAGGACTGCAACAAAAGCTTCATCCAACGGAGTGCATTGACAGTGCATTCGCGAACGCATACCGGAGAGAAGCCTCATGTCTGTGACCACAGAGGATGCCACAAGGCCTTTTCTGATGTATGTACAACTAGCTCACCACTTTTTTCATCTGCTAACCACCACAGTCATCGAGTCTCGCTCGTCACCGAAGGATCCATACTGGAAAACGGCCGTATATCTGCCAAGAGCCAACATGCGAACGAGCGTAAGCATTAGCCTGGTTCTCGTGCTAATGTCTTTCTAACAACGTGAAGCTTCTGCCGCAAAACAACCTTGACCAAGCACCAACACCGCTCCCACCCCCCAGGATCCCTGACCCGACTGCCCTCGGAAGATGCGGTTTCCGAGCACTCGTATCAAGGGCCAGTCGCCGTTCCTGTGCCGAATGAACAGTATCTCTTAGCCCAGCAACCCTACTACCCTCATACCCCGACGCCGACTCATGAGTTTTATCCCCACCAGAGCCTACACATAACGCCGGTGCCCATACAAGAACAGCCACCAATCGTGACTCAGCACATCCCTGTCACGTCACCGGTTGACGTACAGCGTGCTCAGCAACACTACATGCAGCTTGTACAGCAGCAGCAGCAGCAGCAGCAGCAGCAACGATACGACCCTGGCCGTCAGGGATATCTACCACCAGAGTTCCAGCAACCATACCATACCCTACCCACAGCGGAAGGCCCACCGCTGATGGTGACCAGCACTCACAGTGACTACAAGCCGCCGGCCCGCATCCTGAACCAGCCCGAGGGAACGGACTGGGGCTTCCTTGGTGTTGGCTAATGAGCCGACGAGTGCCTTTGCATGATTCGACAGCGAGTGTTTCAGACTAGGAGTTACAATGCGTTTGTGCTTTGAGTGATGCCCTATCATGACTGTCATTTACGAATCCTTAATTTGGTCAGACGCCTTATCCGCTGCTTTTCTTTATTTTTCTTCATCAACGGCATAAAGCCTTTTGTGAGATTTGCGGATTATGATGTTTTCTTTGGTTACGCTGCGCCCCTCCTCTGTCAAAAGGCTGCGAAGAGGTTTTATTTTTTGTCATATTCTTGATACCTTGGCAAATGATGCAATTTGCTTTTCTATACCAGCATAGCCTATACGTTCGCTTTGGGTCTGAATGACGTGCTGGGCAGCTGCGAGCTGACGGGCACGGATACAGAACATGGGTGTATGTACTTATTTCCGAAGCTTTTAATAATGCCTTCCCCCCTTCGGAGTACTCTGTTCCCAGTGACGCTGACGGCGCGCGCGCGACGTAGGCCGTCGATCAGCACCTACCAGAGAAGCAAAGCCGTGCTGACAAGGATGCTATGGACCGAGGAAGTAAGTAGTAGTGGTTGCTTGGCTTGGCTCGGCTCGGAGGGGAAAAAAAGAAACATAGGGGCGCCCATTGTTGTCGGGCCATTGTTCTAGGAAGCTACTAGCCTGTCAGGAGCTTCCTTAAGACCCCTACCACTTACCAAACCAACGTCAGCCAAGGATCGACGGCTGAAACGGTTGGGGGATGGAAAAAGGGAAGGAAGGAAGGGAAGAGGCTCCACACGTCGATGGCGCTTGTAGCAGCAAAGACCAACCAGTCATGGGGTTGAAGTCTATCTAGTTAACCCACGACTGTCGTAGCGCCTGATCGACCCCATCCAGCCGCCCATATGGTCTGGGGGGTGGGTGGGAAGGAATACACGAGAAGGAGGGAGGGAGAGTAGAAAGGAGGGGGTGCGGCTAGACAGGGAACTTTTTGGTAAGGTGCAGGTGGGCCGAACGACCACACACATACACGCACACACCATAGCCCGATAGTGATAGTATAAGTCTAAGTCTACCGTACTTAGGGCGAGAAGTGCGTGTGTATGAGAGAGAGAGAGAAAGACTACGATTGATTCGATGACCTGGCACCTGCGTTTGGTCGCTTTTCGATCGACTGTACATATATGTATGCGCCAAGTTTGGATACTTTTTCTTTTCTCTTACCACACGGAAAGGAAAAGGAATGGCTGTCATCGCTTTTGTTTTTTTTTTTTTTCTTGGCTATATACTACTTACGCGTCCACTAACTTTTATTTTTGTTGTTGTTGGTATCTGATTCCAGACAATTAGTACGTAGAATAGAACAATATGAAAGAAAGAAAGGAAGCGGATCCGATCGGTAAGATATGATGGCCGTCCAACGGGCAGAACCGGACGGAGCTTTCCGACCCGAAAGAAAGAAATAAGTTAGTTAGTTATTTAGTTAGTTAATTGAATGAATCAATCATATTCTCGGGGATAAAGAATCCGAGACTTGGTTAGGGTAGAAGTAGAAGTAGTAGTTAGGGGGGTGTGGAACAGGAGAGACAGACAAAAAACTGGTTTTTTGTGTGTTTAGTTTCTGTGTTTGTTGTTGTTGTGTAGTGTGACTGGCACTAGACTACTAGACTAGTAAGTAAGTAATCTAGCCGGGGGGAGGGGGCGGAAGTATGTACTGTATTAGACTAGACTAGATTAGATTTATTGTTTTGTTAGTTGGTTAGTTAAAGACTAGGTTCTGGGTGCCCGGATTTGATCAATAACTGGGTTTGGTTAGGGTAGGTTAGTTAGCATAGGTATGGGATGGGGATAGGATGGAGACAGAAATGGAGAACGCGGCGACTTGACCGACCGGTCGGTCGGGAGTAAGCGCCAGCCAAACAGATAGACAGATTGGGAATGGGAATGGATTGAGTGGAGAAGGGGGAGATAGTTATACGATGCTGATGATAGTAGAGATTGATTGTGATTGAAGTTCAAAGCTAAAGGATCATCCGTTTGTGGTTCAATGTCCGTTGTATGGACGGGATGTTGGTACCTGATTGGATTTAGTTGTCTATCTATCTATCTGTTAGTGAGTTTAGAAAGGAAAGGAAAGGAAACAAAACTTGGAAGTTGGAATTGCTGCAGCAAGCAGCAGGAGTAATGAATGAATCAGGGTCAATATGGATATCATTTCCGTGTGACAGGGAAGAAGTCTGTCTTGGTCTCGGTCTGACATAGATAGATGGACGGGCTGTGATCGACCGTCTCTGTTTTGTTAGTTTTAATTAGTTGAACTTGGAAATCCACTTTCATTCCTGCGTGTGTCATCTGGGTGAGATGATGGATCTCGTGTTGGGATTATGAGCAAGAGGGAGAAGGAAAGAGTCTAGATGGATGGGCTGTGGGGAATAAATGAAGATAGAAAGGAACTTAAGGAAGGCTGCGGGGGTTGCCTTGTGGTTAGTTAATTTATGACTCCGGAGTTTATCCAATTAGTTAGTTAGTCGATTGTAAGTTAGTAGGCAGTTTGTTGTGGATGTGGATTAGAATTGACATGACAGGATGATATGACATAACTGAGGAGAATTGGATCCAAGAATAGCTACTATGCTATGGGTTCAATTGTTATTTCTCAGTTACTTCCTAAGTAGTAACATCTGAATTGTTATGTAGTAAGCTGAAGTAGATATAGTATATTGTCTTACGACTGCCGGCTCCACAATCCTTCCTTAGCTACTAGCACTTAATCGAACAATCGGAAATCCAAATCCAAAGTCTAGAGTTAGATAATATATGCTAACTACTTAAGTGTCAACTCAACTCATTTCCCAAAATAAGTCTGATTGCCGACGGAACTTAACTCATTCCTTGTTGTGATCGTCAATCCGTCGCCTATCTGGTTACTAATACTATACTAGTATAGTATACTAGTATACTTAGTAACTAGTGGGTGAGTGTAACAGTGGGTATGACTTACCTATCTGTTCTACTTACAGAGTACATTGGAAAAGATAAAGATAGTCTAGATAGGTAGTAAGTTTAGGTCTGGTTTGGTTTGGTTTGGTTTGGTTTGGTTTGGTTTGGTTTGGTGATATCACTTTTCCTCTCTCAATCCCTGCACTGCAACTGCACTGCACTTCGCTTAGAGATGGAAATGACATGGATGAGATGAGATGAGATGGTTGATACATACATACATGTAATATAACACACGTGGTATATTACCCATTACTTGTATTTGTAAGGTGTATGTATGTATGTATGGTAATATACATATAAATAGATATACCTACTCTCACTACTTATCTATGGGATGATGATGAGGATGATGACAGCCCAAGAAAGTAAAAACAATGCGAAAGGAACACAAATAGATGTGATGATGATGTGATGGGGTTGCTTTTCCTTATCGATCTACCAATCATGGTGTTGATCAAACAGGAAGATAGTAAGTAGGAGCTTGTCGGGGAAATATCGGATTGTTCATATGCTGGTAGTGGTGGTGGTGGTGGCACACCATACCACTCACACGGCTGGCATAAGCAATCAAGCCACCACCACCACTACCATCATTGCTTCTGGGTTGGGTTGGGCTGTGATTGTGGTTGTGGTAGTGGATAAATGTTTATACCCTACAAGTAAAGTATACGATGTGGTAGAATACAAAAGTATACCCTAAAACCATATAGAAAAAAGTAGTAGATTAAGAACAACTATCCATAAAAGCCTCATACATTCACCAAAAGTACTAGCATACTAGCATATACCCCACAGCCTCCTCCAAAGTATCAGTCACCCCATAGTACCCACCCACCCACCCACCGACAGACAGACAGACCAAAATTGAGGCCAGGCCACCACCACTCAAAAACATTCATCCCGCCTAATACACGAACCAACCAATCCCAGAGTAGCGCAGCGCAATCAACAAGGATATAGATAGATTGTACACGTAGCGACCATACAATACTTATACCTTGTACCTACTTCAGTCTATACAGTTAGTTCATAGTTTGATTGATTGATTGTCATATAATACTAGATTATAAGATACCACGCCATCAATCAATCAGTCAATCAATCAGTGTCCTATGTTGGGTTGAATTTCCACTGGACATGATGGGGACAAAAGTACCTTGCATAAGAGTGCTTGCATGGGGTAGACTACTAACTAAGTAGCTAGTGTTGGTTGACATGATGGGTGTGGGGGGTGTGCTGTATCTTTTCTTTTTCTTTTCTTTTTTTTTGTAGGTGCTCATATTTGGGAAGTACTCCGTACTTCGTTGTCAGTGAGTGTACTGCTGTCTACTAAGGGGATGGTGGTGTGTTCCAGGTGGTTGTGTGAGGGAGTATATCTACCTATCAGATTCTAGGCCAATTTCACTGGGTAGATAGTGGTAGGGTAGGGATACTAGTGAGTAGAGGTATAAGGGTAGCAGTTGACTAAGTACTACGATGTCAGTTGTCATCAATCAATCAATTTCATACACATAGTGTTTCGAATTAAGATCATTATATTCAGCTGGTCTCATGATCAACTCACCTGATCACTCATAAATTATCTCTTCTCGGTATCGAGCAGCTATACACACCCCTGTAGTAGCGATCCATAACATATTGTTACGTGCATACCTATCCATTCTATACGTATACCTACAGCAACAGCATAACTACTCAATGCATGCCATCGGTTCACCGGCACGGCACAATCCGACAAACACATAGATAGCTTACTGTTCCACAATCCCCTCTAAACGCCATGGCAATCCCACGCCACGGGGTAAGCTCCTCATGATCATGGAAGAGTCGTATTCAGTACCTGGCTGTGTTACCTTGTGTGAGTGTTGTGTATTCTCCGATTAGGGTGATTGATAAGGGGTCGTTGGTCCGAGGCCGAGGCTGAAGTGGAAGCGTTGAACGGTCTGGGGTATCTTGCTCTGAGGATCTCTTGTAGGTTCGTTCATAGGGAGTGTATATATACTGCTGCTGTACTTGCCATGCATTGATTTCTGTGGTATATGTATGTATATATCAGTTCAATCTCAATTTCAACGCATATCATGAGCGGGTCAACACCAAAGAAAATGTAGCGAAAGTAAGCTTACAACTCTCCTCTCACAAACAAGCCCTCATCACTCATCCTATCCATATACCGGCCTCATCTCAAAGTCTAGATGCTCAGCTGCCAACTTATCTAGACAATAGAAGTATATTCTGTACCACATCGGAATGTATCCATCATGGACAAAGACAACTCGAGACCTGAATCTCGAACATAAAAGCACCTAAATCTCCTGTCCCCTTCGGTATCGACATCAGCATCACTACCACTTTCCTCAAGCATCACAATTCGAACCGAAGCAGTGACAAAATGCGTTTCACTATCCCTCTTACCCTCTTCTTCGCCGCCCTGGCTATCGCTGCTCCGGCCGCGGAGGCAGACAATGATGTCGACGCTGCAGTGTCTGAGGACCCTGGTCTGGCTGATGCGCAGCGCTGTCGGCCAGGATATAGACAGTGCATGGATGTGTGTCTCCTTTTCTCTATTTTTCTGTCTCTTTCGACTAGAAGGTCTTGATAAGACGGGTTAGCTAACGAAGTGTAGAACTGCAACCGTCACCACGGAGGTGAACGTTGCTTCCGGGTAACTCCAGCTTCTTTATCGTCTCAGTAACAAGCCGTCTAACAATACATAGGCCTGCTGGGCTCACTACTGCTAGTGACTTGCCCCATACACACCTGATTGATTGTCGGGTAGTCTCCAGACACAGTGATTGATTTGATTGTGCTCGTTCCGTTGACGTCAACGCCAGCTATTGTCCTTCTTTAACTAAATCGAGCTGTTTATGTCACTTCCTTCCACGCGTAAGCCAGACTCAGTAGTCAGTATTACCGGATTCAGCAAAGCAAGAACGTCAACAATCACCAATAACGTCCCTGCCATCAGGAACCTCGGACAGAATATGGCAAAGAGCATCAGATGACGGCGGAGGATACACGCCCATAATGCTGTAAAAGCGGCCCAAACAGTGTATACGGTGCTATGAATGGCCAGGAAGTGTGCTTGGCTCTGCTTGTCTCCCGAGTGAAGAAGAGGCACGGCGCATGCTGCCACGATTGGCGCGCCAAAAGTATTGACGATCACCAGTAGTGGCGACCATGGATACTGTGTATCTCTGAATGGAATGTAGGCTGATTTCCATTGGATGCTGGATAAGGTGGCGTTGTGACCGGTGCTGAAGAAGTGTAATGTCCCGAGGAGGGCTGCTATGGTGGGTTTGATAGAGCTGTTGCTGGGCACGAGATGCCGTAGACTAATGAGCTGGTAGTAGAGAACTGCCAAGGACAGCCCGGCTGTTGGAGTACTTGAGAGAATGCCTGCAAGGAGCATTGCTGTCATGAAGATGAGTGCCCGTTCGAGTGGCCTATGTCTTGGAATGGTTGTTAACGCAGTGGCTAACCCGATAAAGACAATGACTAGCACCATTTGTGCAACAGTCATGCGCAGAGTTTTGGAGATGTCATCTGTGAGAAGGTCTGCCAGCCAGTCGTTGTTACTTGCTGTTTCTAGGGCATTGAAGACGGTGGTGAGCAGCAGCGCACTTGGTATACCGAGTCTGAACCAGAACAGGTTTCCAGCCGTACGGTCTTGCAGAGCTAGTCGAGTGATGTATAACACAGCCACGGCAGTAATGACCGTGCTCGATAGCTGCCAAACCCAGCTGCTCTCCAAACGATAGAATGACGTTCTGCAGAATGGCAGCTGCTCTTCGCGACAAGCCCGACTGAGTGAGACGACTCGACTTAGAAGCATGAATATCGCCGAGCAAGACGCCTCACGTACACCCTTTGCATGGTTTGACGCACCAAGAGTGCATAGTCCGAATGTCGAGAGAAAGACCAAAACCACACGGTCCTCCCAGATGGTGTAGGAATTTGAAGCAAATCCGATGCCGAGAAGTAGAGTGAACATCACGGCCTGCCAGCTCCAAACTCCCTCCGGAAGGCACCTGCGCAAGATAGTCAAACCAGTCTGCCACATATTCCACACAACGCTGCCTAAAGCAGCGCCCAGGATCACACCATCCGTGAGGGAACATTGAGCAAAGTCAGCCAAAGCAACATGACCAGCCACAGTAACAATCCCCATCACAATCCCCACTACCATCCCAGACCATTTCCTCAAGCCAGACCTCTCATCCACCTGGGGGCATACCAGGATCACCACACTCAGCAACAGAACCATCATCCCCTCGACCATCTTCAGCGGATCAAACTGAGCCCACATACGCCTATACCCCTCTAGCATCCTCCCTTGATACCCCCTCAACCTCTGATAATACTCCCTCAGTGCCTCCTCATCCCCAAAATCCACCTCACCATCATACCATCCATCCCACCCAACCACCCCCTCCCATCCATACCTCTCATACTCCATCGTAAACCTCTGAATCTGCGCCCCAACCAACGCATTAACCTCCACCAAGCGTCTCCAATCCCTCCCCTCCCTCCCAGCAAACGCCTCCTCAATCGGCCGTCCCAGGTTACTAAACGGCACCGGCACGCCCATCAACAACGCCAACGTGCTCACAAAGTCCACCTGCGGCGTATCTCTCCCCACAACACCAGTAACACCATCACCATCAACAACCCCCCAAACCTCCCTCGTCGAATACATCCACAACGCAGTCCGTACCTCATCCCCGGTCTCACCCCCATGATTCCCATTCTCATCCATCCCATGATCCCCCATAACAACCAACAACGTCTCATCATCCACACTCTCCATAACCCTCTTAACAATCCCATCCATCTGAGCCAACTTGTCCCTCATGCTCTCATGCCCCGGCCCAAACCGATGTCCAACGTGATCAACACCCAGGAAATGGGCGATGATCACGTCCCACTCCCCCTCTGCCCCAATTTTACCCTTGAGTAAAGGTACCAAATGCTCATACACCCCATCATCAACCGTATGTAAATCCTCCACTAGGAACGATTCATACGGACGTGACAGGGTAGGGTCAAAGTATCCCGGGAAAAGTTTCATCCAGGTATCATCGCCCAACAGGACGAGACGTTTCCCTGCGTCATGGAGTTGAGATATCAGGTTATCTTCTGTGACTGCTGAGCCGGCGAAGTTGGACCCTGCTTCGATGAAGGTGGGTAGAGTGCCTGTCGTGAGGGCTTTCAGGCGCTGGAGGGTGGTGGTGGGTGGGTCGGCGATGAAGGGGTAGAGGAGGGCATTGTGGGGGGTGGTGAGGGCTGTGGTGTGCAGGATGGTGAGGGCGTTGTGGTATGTTTTGTTGTTGGTGGTGGAGGTGGTCGGAATGGTGAAGTCGTAGCGGAGGGCGTCGATGAGGAGGATGATGGCTTTGGTGAAGGTCGGGGGTATCCAGCAGGTTGTAGTAGTAGTGTTGGTGGTGGTGATTATGGGAATGGGAGGATGGGAGCAATTGCTTTTCAAGTCGAGGGTTTGGCGTGTGAGGAGGAAGCCTTTGGTGAAGAGGTATAGGCCTGTGGTGTGGAGGAGGCTGGATGTTGTTCAGTTAGTCAATTGAGCTGGGAGATGTAGTATACATACAGAATGTAAAGGAAGAAGAGTGGCAGATGCCATCTGCTGGTGGTGGTAGTTGATGGGCCCATGCTGTGCTGGTATAGATGCTGCAGTGCATATCAATCAGACTATACTATCTGTCGTATCATCTATCGACAGCGTACACAGATGATGATGATCACCACCTTCTTCTTCACTTAGCAGAAGCAAATCAACAACCAGGCAGCTCTATTTACAACCCACAGGCAATAGTTTCCTTAGTATTTGTGGCACAAACTCTCCCCTGTGTAACCATCACACAACAGTCAAATTCACTTCAACCTCATCAAAACGAAGTAACTACTGTATACAGATCGATACTCTCCCAGACAGAAAAGGAAATAAACCGTCACGATACCAATACACACCACACCTGTATTTCAATACCAAACCCATACTAACTATACATACTACTTACATAACCAAGCAACTAACTGGTTAACTAACTAACTAACCTACTGCAGTCTAACCAACCAACTAAGTAACTAGGTTACTAATTCTCCGCCGCCAACCACCCCTTAGCGAAGTGGATAAGTAACAACTTACAGTAATAGATAAGTAGCTAGCCTGAGGCTACGCTACTACTACTGCTGCTTGCTGCTGATCAATTGCGCTCGTATTGGGGGGACAATCTTAGCCCGATGCGGGAAGCATTAGCGAGGACAAATATGGTTGGTCGGTGAAGGGGGAGAAGATCGTAATCAACCTAGGTACGTAGTTTTATGTTTGTAAACTAAATCGAGATGACAGCTTAGTTACTAAGTTACTTACTTTACGTGTGACAAGTAAACTGCTGTAGTAGCAAACCAGGTAGTTTGGGGGCCGTTTACCTGGTTGACTTAATCTAGGTTGATGGTAATGAGAAGAGCTTGTTTTTGACTTTTTAGGGGAAGCTTTGAAAGCTATTATGGGGATTGGGGTAATTACTTTCCGTGGGTCGGATGGGGATGGAGATGGGGGAGGGTTATGCTTAATGGGTGTATGATGTGGTCTGTGTAATTTGTCTGGAGTTCTTTTGGGGAATAGTTGATATATGCCGGGTTATAGTGGGTGATATTATTACAGTGAGACAGTTCAGTGACGAAAGCAGTTGTTTTGTTCCCAGTTCATTGAATGGTTCCTTGTATATACCCATGTCCATACCCTTTCTATGATAATCCTATACAAACCTAACCCTCCCTCTCTCCATATATTCTTATATACCAATAATATACCCCAAATAAAGAGTCGTTTACCAACTCGTAACCCCTCTCTCCCTATCAAACCCACCCCTCAGCTGCTCTCCCGGCTTAACCACCTTCCCTTGCAACACCGTATACCGCACAATATTCTCACAATCCTGGGGTCTTACCCTCGCAAGCCAGATACCCTGCGCCGCACCCTCTTCCTCCTCAGTCCCCTCCGTCTTCTTATACCACTCAAAGTCCCGTCTCCGATAGATGATCACGTTCGCCGCATACTTATGTCCACCCACATGGTTGATAAAGTAGATTCCCACACCCCCAGGCCTCTCATCATCCATGTCCCGATACAGGCCTAGATGGCGCAAATGGCGCTCGAATTCCTTGCGAAGAAGCGGAGCGGACTGTCCGCAGCGGGCGTCGCGGGTGCGGTGGGAGCAGAGCAGGATGACGGCGGAGTGAGGGGAGGGACGGGAGCGGAGGGAGGTGAGGGATTGGATGTCGGTGATGTTCTCTTCTTCTTCTTCTTGTTGTTGTTGTTGTTCTTCAGTCGAGGGCTGCTGCTGCTGTTGTTGTTCACTCTCATCATTGTTGTTGTTGTTTCCACCAACCAACGGGGTCGTAGTCGTCGGCGAGCGATTCACAAAATACTTGATCAAATCCGGGGCCAGCTGCGGCGTGACATGATCGACGATAGTAAACCTGGGCAGAAGCAACACAGTCGTAGGCTGTTTCCCCGCATCATGATAATGATATTCATCCGGGACGGGCATATTGGAGGCGGACAATTTCAGTTTCTAGACATAGCCACCCCACACCGATTAGCTTCGCGCAGCCAGGACAAACAAACTGCAACAGTGGCAGTGAGATCATACCCCATTACTAGGCACCAACCCCCCCTTCTCAATCGCCTCCATCACACTCCCCTCTTCATCCGCAACATCCCTCACCCAATCCGTCTTCCCAGTCGCAACCAGCACATGCGTCGACCAGCCATTAATATTCCCGTACATGGTATCTTCCTGATCGACATCGAATTTAGCGGGGTATTTCACCGTGCAGGACGCACAGTCATGCAGACATTCCTCGCCGTCCACGGCGGGGTCGGTCTTGGGGAAGAGGGTATCGACCGATGGCGTAGCATCATCATCATTCTCCTCCTGGGGTTTGGGACTGTCTTTGGGACTATCCTGCGGGGTTGCCGAGGGGGTCGGGGTGAAGAATGAGCGACCTCGTTGGAGGATGGATTGCATTGTGAATATATATAGTAGCGTAGCAAGGGGGTGAGAAAGAAAAAGGAGGGAGGAGAAGTTGAATAGGAGCAGGGGAAAAAAGAAAAGGTAATATCTTTTTCTTTCATTCGGACTTTTGGGAACCGCCAGATCTTATCAATCGCCGCGCGCGCCTTGCCAAGGACGGAAAGCCACGCCGACACGGTTGTGATGCGGCTTGTGGTCGGTTGCTGCCGGACCTCCGATTGGCTTACGTCACGGCGAGAGCAACTCTTTGCCGATTAATGAAAGTGGGGGAAGTTCTTTTTTGGGCGTTGGAGGGGAACACAGCGAGCCCAGGGCATGTGGATATATGGGTAATTAAGGCCAATAGGAGACGCTGTGTAACTAATAGTGGCATATTGCGAATCTGAGGGAGAAATCGCATCTTCAATCGTGTAATTATCCAAAATGGTTTTGGTTTTTTGTTTCTCCAATCCTTATCTAGATATCTATGTTTGAGGTCTACCGTCGACGCGGCTGCTGCTGCCAACATTATAAGCGTATGGCAAATCCGTCGGACTCCGGGTCTCGACCAGGCGAATCACGCTCCCTCCAGAGCTACCAGATACATTCGATTGCACTCGTCGAAGCGACCGCATCGATGGCGTCCGAGGAGGCGCCAGGGTTCGCTGCGCCTCCGAGCGTCTCGACCAAACAGGCGACCAGCGACCTTGTCTAGCGCCGTCCCAAGTGGACGCATTCGAAGGCCGCAGGCTATTACTCCGGCCCCGCGACATGGCTTCACTATCGCCATAGGAGTCCACCGTATCGGTTTCACCTTCCTCGTCCGAAGGCCCGATAAGAGACTCGCTCTCAGCCTGGGAACTCCCACCACCCCGCACCTCATCCAAGATCTGGGGATCCAAAACCTTCATCCCCCTCAGGAGCTCCGCAAACACATGCATCAGTGTCCTGAATTCAGCCTCGTGTAGCTCACGCGTTGAAAAGCGCGCCCGCTCATACAGAGCGACAAATTCCATCCCAATCTCCGGCGGATCAACCACATTCAGCGCAGTCAAATGCTGCAAATACCCCCGCAGACCCATCGATATCGGCCGCCGTAATACTTCCACCACCCGCGTGTCAGGAATCGACTCTTCGGTCTCGGGAAATGGCGCGTGAAGCGCCCGCTGGGTGGCCGTGAAGATCGGGTCGGGAGGAGCGAGCGACACTGCCTTGGCTTCGATGAGGTGAGGCAGTTCCTGGACTACAGTCCGATAGGGAAGGTCGGGCAGGTCGGGACATGAGGGCGAGGACCATCCGGGGTGCTCGACTTGACCCCAGGGTGGATTGTCGTAGTCCACCAAGAGCGATTCGTAGCCTGTGAAATCATGTCCGTCGGCTGCAATGTCCCTGGGTCGAGCCTGGTAGGCTATGATTGCACTATGCGCCAGGCCCTCCTTAACCAGTCGGCGCACACTCTTGCCGACGTCTTCGCGCTCGACGGGGATCCATGCTTTGGGGATGCCGGAGAGGACAGTTCGGTTCGTATATATACGCGTGGTGTAGATTAGGACCGCGAGAATGAAGGTGACAACGTAGCCGCCGGTGATGATGAAGATGTTCGTGAGGCGCTGCGTGATGTAGCACTGGTAGATCGCATCGGCGGGAGTCAGGATGATGGAGAGGAACAGAACCAAGGAGAAGAAGGTGAAGACAGTTAGGTTCAGGACGCGCTGAACGTTGATGGCCATAACCGCGAGCACGTCATATTGCGCCGCAGTACCGGCTGCTCTCAGGTGCCAGCAACTGGGCGGTAGAAGAAATACTGAGTAGCTGGAATTAAGGGGATGTCCATTGCGACCGTGAGATGAGCTGTGATCACGTGATGAATGTGGGCGCGATCGACATTCGTCTTCCTGTACGGATACTGTCTCGGATGCAGCGAGGACAAGAACAAGCCATTCCTACCATATCTACTATGTTTCTGTGATAATCAATATGGCTTCCCAAAGGTATATATGCCTACGCTTATGCTCTATTGCTCTACGTGTATAAATGCTAGGAATCACGACCTTTAGTCGTCCTGGACAGCCACCTCGTCCTCCCACTGAGGCTCGAACTGCGCCCGAGCCCGGCGGATGACCCGCTCGATACCGTCCAGACCCATCTTCAGGACATCCATCTTCGGACCGTAACTCAGACGAACGAAGTGGTGGCAAGGGCTGTCGAACAGGTCTCTTCTGTGGGCGGGGTTCAGGTCGAAGAAGATACCAGGAACCACAATGACCTTCTCGGTCAAGAGGGCGTTGAAGAAGTTCAGTCCGTCGGACAGGTTGGCCTCCTTGGGGAGAGGAGGGTCCAGGGAGGTCAGGTCAAGCCAGATGTAGAAGGTGGCCTGGGGCACCTCGTCGATGCGGAAACCGATCTCACGCAGGCGGCCAACGACGAAGTCTCTCTTCTCGCGGAAGTGCACCTGGAGGGCCTTCATCTCTGCACGCACCAGCGACGGCTCGAGCATGGGAACGGCGGCTTCCTGGAAAGGCGCGTTGGCACCACCGTCCAGGTAGGAACCAGCAGAGCCCAGGGCATCGATGAACTCCTTGGGTCCAACCACCCAGGCGATACGCCAACCCGGAAGACGGAAACGCTTGGTCAGACCGTCAATCAAAAGCACATCTGTGAGAGTCAGCATGGCAGGAACAACCTGCACCGGTTCTCGTTTGTTCAGGGAGGGTCAGCGGGCGAACCATCTTTGTTGACATCTTCGACGTTGGTGGCACCACTGATCGTGGTTCCGTCACAGTCGGTAGTGTAGTTGTAACCGCCGTAGAACTCATCCAGGATCAGAGTCGCACGATCTCTGCAGATGTCCTGGATCTGAGCAAGCTCGGGGTTGGAGACAAAGTGTCCGGTAGGGTTACGAGGGTTGGAGGTCAACAACACAGACGTTCCACGAGCGATCTCCTCGGCAATCTTGTCGGGGTGGATTGCGTAGTGGTCGTCTTGGGCGAGGGGAATGGGAATAGGAGCGATCTAGATGCAGAGTTAGCCACCGTATACAACCCCGAGCCCACTGTTCACTGCTGCCATTCCACTAGCAGCACTGGTTTGCACTCACGTTCTTGAACAGCGACAACATCTCGGAGTACGCCGAGTAATCAGGGATAGGGAAAGACAAGTACGAGTTTCCCAGAATAGCAGCGATACGGATCAGACCCGCACGACCACCGGGGACAATGCAGACGTTCTCCCAAGTGTACTGACTAGCCTTGCCCTGACGGTAATGCTCATTGTAGAGGCGAGCGACGGCGGCACGCAGAGGCTTGATACCGGCGGTGGGACCGTACTCACGGGCGGCGGAGGTGATAGGGATGGAAGTCGGACGAGGGAAACTGCCCTCGATCTCATCGTCGGCTTCAGGGGCACCCTGACCTAGGTTGGCCCAGGAGTGAGGATCCTCAGCATAACCATGTTCAGTGGCACGCTCAGTACACCAGACAACACCGGTGGAGGCACGGGAGGCATCGAGACCGGCATGGGGACGGTGACCTTCGTGGGCGCTACGGAACTGACGGTGGGTTTCGGAACGAAGTTCTGCATGACAGGATGTGATGTTAGTTGGAATGTATGCAATAGTCCATGACTAGTAGCTTGTGTTGTTGAAGGAAGCGGAGGATTATGTGCCCCTCAAGCACAAGGCTGAGCAGCATTGCTGCATGCAGTGGGAGCATGTATAGAAGCAAGAGTGCACGGAACATGACTTCTTCAAATGAAGAAAAGAATAAAAGGAAGACATATGTATATATGAACCACGTACCATTCTCAGACAACTCCTTACCGACCGAGAAGCGGCGGTTGGAGGGGCGCAGGATGCTCAAGCGGCGGCCGGAGAAAGACATGCTGGGCTGCTTTTGCCAAGTCGCAAATTCTGGGGAAGAATGCAATCTAGTGTATGCAAGCTATCGGAGTTCCCTGGATCTGAAGGGGGTAAGAAAGGATTATTAAGTAAGAATTGAAAAATTCTGTAAAATGGTACGAATAGACAACAGGGGGGATAAAAAAGATAGGCAAGTAGCAGAGCAAAGATAGAACTTACTCTCCAAAAGAACAAGAGTTGGAGAAAAGCGAATTAAGAGGGGAGAGAGAGGAGAGGATATATCAATAAATAAGAATGAAGAGGATAGTCAGACAGACCAGATAATAAAATAAAAAGGGAAATAAAAAAAGTAACCAGAAAAGAAAAAGGTACAAGTAATTTTTTCTCTTGTTAAGGCGTTAAGGATGGATGGCTCCCTCCAACTCATTGCTTTGCCTTGTTGGTCTTGCTGTTCTCCAACTTTTCCTTTCCGCCCAATCTACTCTCTCACTCACTCTACGGCATATCGCCTTCCCAGATCCAGACCCAGACTCAGACAAACTACTACGTACAAGGTACCAACCAAACCACCCACCATTCTCCCTTTTCCCTAACTCCTCTCTCATCTGCGACAAATAATAATAATAATAATAACACCTACTAGTAGTTTCAGCCCGCAGGCACCAGTCAACTTTCTTGACAAAATTAGAAGGAAGAAAGAGAGAGCGAGCGAAATAATCGCGCAACTGCCGCCTCTTCCAGGGAAAGCAAAGCAAAAAGAGCAGCCTTACAAACCAACCGTAAAATGCCTCACAACTACTACTAAACTGAACTACTAGTTTCGAGGGTTTCGCGGTCCAACTGCCACACACACACCGCATACGTGACGAATCGTCGAAACCCACCCAACCGTCGTCCAGACCGCAATCATTTTCCCGTGGCTCAGTCCCGATCGACGGGCTCCAAGTGGACTCTTCTTAAGTTCTTTCGGCTGGGATCCGACACCGGCTCCATTGAATCCCAAATCATCTACCATAAGTATTCCCTTCCGAGACCATACAAACTTACAAAGTACTTACGGTAGTAGTAGTATCGATTTCCGGCCCCAAACAGCGAATGACGAGTGGCGGTGGCTGCTGCCCCCCCTTATTCCCTTATCCCCTATCGATCTTGTCTACCTATCTATCTTTGGTATACAATCGGATGGACGGCATCTCAAGACTTTGCGACCTGTCTAATGACAAACAGGGACTGGACGTACACCCACCCACACCCCCTTTCAGCCCTTTCAGGCCCCCGTTGGTTTGGACCGTGGAGTGCCCGAAGTTCCACTTCTCGGTACTGATGGATCCGTGGAATTATGGCGCCCGCCAGGTACTTAGTAACTTATTAACTTACTAACTCACTAACCAGCCGATCTCCTATCTCCTCCCTACTCCTTTCAGGTTTATTTTTGGAGCTATTATCTTCGCCGTTGTTCATACTCTATATCTGCACCCAGCACCAAGGAAATCTAAGGTCGTAATACTATCATTGACAGGGCCAGCACGGAAGCCAGCAAAGAAAAAACAGAAAGGGGTAAAAAGCAACAAATCAAGCACAACAGATGAGGTACCGCAACATCAAAGTCCATCCCAAGGCCAAATATGCAGGAACACTATACAGCTCATCTCGTATGTCCGACATCCGTCCTGCGCAATCAATGAAAAATCGGAAAGCCAACAAGCGGTATACATACATCATGCAGTCATGGTAGATCAGTTCAAATGGAGAGTCATCAACATTTCCCAGAGCAGAGAGCCGCCTCTCCCAAATCCCAACAGGGTGTCCGAAGTAAACCCACAGAACCCGCTCCTTGCTAGGGTCCATCAAGAATCAAGCGCCCCGGCCGATAATCCTTTTTTGCCTCTCCCTTAACCCATGCGAATAGAATCAGTAGCCTCTCCAACGCTCTCCAGCCAATCCAGTTGGATGTGAGTCGTCAACTAAACCAAGGAGACAACACCGGTGACAATGTCTCATCTCTTGCCAACTCACACAGGAGATGCGGAGAGTAATCAAATGCAGCGATGGTCGGAGAACCAAGGACGAAAAGTAACGGTAGGAAACAAAGTAAGGTAGTGAGAAAATAAGCAGAAAATAATCTTCAGTACTGGAACATATGCCATTGCTCCAGCTCTATCATATCTAAGTCTCCACTGCCTGACAGTAGAGCTGAATCTCTCCTACTTGACCCCTAGCGAGCATGTCACGCTGTTGTTCGCGCCACTCCATGAATGCCAGTTGAACGGCCTCGTCGCTGTCAATCGTGACGAAATCTCCGTCTTCGTCCCGGTATCGTAGCCTGACTGACTTGCTGCCAATGGAGCGATTGGTAAATCGGGCCAGCTTGGCATCCACACGATCGATGAGCGAGCGGAACATGATGTTGCTGGCAATGACGAGAGTGACGTAGTTATCATCGAAATTCACCTTGACCTTGAGTTGCGTCGGCATGAGGGGCTCCTCATCCGGCTCGTGGCTCAGTGGGGAGGTGGGCTGATCAGTGGCCGATGTGCTAGGACGGTAGTCAGAGTACTGGGGCTCGTGGAAATGCGTGTGCGGCACATGCCGGGGATCGGAATGTTGCTGGGAGTTGGAAAGGTGGTTTGCGTTGCGAATGGGGGCGTTGGCATTGGTAGGGGAGTTGTTCTGGCTGCGGTTGGGAGGCGCCATCATGCTGGATATATGAGCGGGAATCGGCGGGACGGGTACGTTGTCGACGGTCTGCATCGTATGGGCGCCCATGTAACGACGCATTTCCGGATTGTGGGTGTGGTTGTGGATATCGGGGCTACTCGCGGATCGCATTCGCTGGGCCATGCCATTTGCCGCCTGGGCCCCTGACATCGGAGGGAGTGAGGGTCGTTGAGCACTTCGTGCATTCGGAGCACCGCTGAAATAAGGATTTGAATTAGGCCCATCTCTTGACGTCGCACGGGACAAAGCCGGGGCTGTATACCGAGCATTTTCTTCATTCCAGTTGGCTGTAGGTGTCACTTGACGACCATGGAAATATCCAGTAGACTGGGAGCTGGACCGTGTAGACGGAGTTTCGGCGACGGGGGAGAAGTAAGACGGAGCATTCCTCTCTGCTGGCGACATACTGCCTCCAGAAAGATGGGTGTGCAGTGACAAATTCGGATCGGGTACAGGTATGCGAGGGCGACCGGAGCTACCGCTGCCTCCTGTGGCTGAACGGGTTCGGAGACTGGTGCTGGAGGCGTTACGGCTCATCGGGAATTCCGAGAAGAAGCCTGCTTCCTGCGTGGCTGCTTGCTCTTCCGCATAATACTCTTGTTCATATGGGTTTGGAATGTTGGACATGGATCGCATGTACGTAAATTCGGTCTCGGAGGTGCCGGTGTTGCGAGCGCTGCGCTGCTCTGCCTGGATCGCCCGTTGCGCCTCGATGTCCCGGCTCCATTTGCGCATGATGTCCTCGTTCGAATAGCGGATGATGAAATTGTCCACGACTCCTGGATCACCCTTCCAGAAGATCTGGATGCGATAAGAGCCTGTCACAAAGTAATTTAGTCAAAGCAGCTCCCGAAAATGTTTGTAAAGTCCTCGTACCTGGCTTGGGAAGGCAGAGCACATCTGTCACGTTCGCCATGTAGATGCGGCCTTTGAGCTGAAGCCGCGGCTTGCCTTTGATCATCGCAGCGGGCTTGTCTTTGCCTAGATTCAGTTTCGACTTTTGCTTGTTAGGGTTGATATCCTTGCAACAAAGGAGTATCCGTTCGAAGAGATAGATATGATACTAATCCAAAAGTCAGCTGGCTGTTCTCTCAACTCCCTCTTTGCAAAAGGGGCCTGGAAAGGCTACTAACCTCTCTCTCCGAGTCTTTGCCATTATCACCCTTGATCACCGAGAAGGTACCAAAACGGAGAAGGTCGCCAAATGCTTCAATCTTCAGAGCCTTCCAGTCATCCACTCGTTCATCAAGGTCTTTGACAGCAGACTGCAGGTGCTCCTTGTCAATGGCATCATTTGCCGAGTCTAAAACGGTTTGGATAGCGTCGATGGCTCGTTGGATGTCAGTCCGGAGGTCGGGGTTTTCTGTTTGCTTCAAAAGTTCCTGTGCGATGGTCAGTAACGAGACTGATGGCTATGTATTGAGACAAGAAAATCCTTACCCCTAACATGAGGGGGTATTTAGTCAGGCGCTGAAAAGGCTTGACAAAGAAACCGTTCAAGGTTGCGGGTTGCGCCACCATCTGTAGCAGGTCCTTGGACCGCGGAGCCATGTGAATCTTGTCCCAATCTCTGAGACAGATCTCATCACAGCGCATCTGGTTGGCGATAAAGGGCTCGTATTGGCGGAAAGCTTCCTCGTGCTGGATAAACAGCTCACCCCAGTTTTGTTTCTCTTCGGGCAGCGCATAGTGCTGTTCAATACGGATCAAGAACCGCTGAGCAAAATCAAGCAGATTGTTGAGATTCAAGAAAATCTGATGGCTAGCATCACCATTTACAGCACTTGTCTCTTCTAACTCCTTCTTCAGGGCCTGTAGATTCTGGAGATGATGAACATAATCGCGCTCCGTTTCCAGTAACTCCTTGAGGATGTGTTCCCGTTTGGTGAGCTTGACGGCACCTTTCGCGGGGGCCCCTGCTCCAATATCCGACGGTCGCTTCAGCTGTCCCTGCATCTCCAGGATGTCCAGAACCCGGTTAACCATCTTGATCACTTTGGTGAAGCCAGTGGTGTTCTCGCCGTAAAGGTCCGTGATAAGGAAGCAGTCTTGCTGAGGGAATCCCAGCTCCTTCAGAGACGCATGGAGGAATTTGAAGGTGGCGGCTTTCGGGCGTTTGGCCTCGGCAACTTTCGTTGTGTCGATTTCCAGGAACTCTTCGGGATCGGAGGCATTGTAGATGGTCAGGAGGGGATAGCCCGTCCGGAGACAATTCCACAGCGACGCCACCGGGTCGGTATTCCCCTGAGCCAGATCGGCTTCCTCCATCTCTCGCATATGGGGTTCGAAGTTCGGTACTTCGGCCAGGCGCTTCTTGAGGTTGACGCAGCTCTGATAGATCGATTCGCCGCCGCGGCGGTTGATGATGTTGTCCTCGGCGATAGGACCGCCATTCATGGTGATGGTCTCAGCCATCTCGACGGGGGGTGGTGGCCGACTCGGACCGTAAGGAGTGGAGGCCGGCGACAATGTGGGGGAGGAGCGAAGGGCTTCAAATCTGCGCAGCAGACCGACGGAGGGAGGAAGAGGAAGGAAATGACAGGCGTGCTTGCACGAGGATCAAGTCGAGCATGGGTCACTGGATGCGAGCCGGTGGACCGATGCGGGATGGATGGGACAAGCGAGCAGCTAAGGAACCTTAGAAGTGGAGATGGTGGTACGTTAACTATTAGTTAAGTCTCCCTAAAAAGCTGAGTCAAACCGCGAGCTGTTGTTCCGTGTCTCGACCCTCGCCGCCAGAAGTCGATCGAATGCGTGAATTTAAAATACACCCTGGGGGGGTCGACGAGTTCACGCGACGAGCCGGATGGGTGATTTTTGTAATTCGGGGAAAGCTCTGGCGCTTTTAATAGAAAAATTAGTATGGCCTTGGCCAGGGACAAATCTCCGGCCCTTGCTGGCGACAGCACCCTTCCTGATCAAAAGATGGCGAACCCGAAACCCAAGAAGGATCGAGAAAAATAGAAATGCTGGGTGTGGGGTTTGATTTGCCGCTGCAGCCAGGCAAGCGCAGGCACGTAGTAAGCAGGAACCAAAGAAAGAGCAGCAGCAGCAGCAAGTAGCAGCAGGTTCCAAAGAGGCGGATTTTGCCCCTCAACCGAAAAACAGCTGAAAGGTGGAAATCAGATAAAATATGGGAACGGGAAAGGATCCCTGGAGCGGTACCGCCGGGAACCGTAGGTGAAGGTCAATTTAAATGCGAAACTAATAAGAATAGCTATGGTATGAAAAATAAAATAGGGTGGAAAATAAACCCGGAAGGAGAGAAGGTGAAGAGAGGGAGAGTAAAGAACAAGAGAGGGAGGAGGAAGAGGGGGGGAGGGGATGATGGAGGGGAAGGAGGTCAATGGGAAGAAAGGAGGGAAAATGTGAGAAAGCAAAGGATAGACAATCAAGAGTGACAAGAGATGGGAACACCGGAATGGGGGGAAGGAAAGGAAGAGAGAGAGAGAGAGAGAGTCCAGGCCAGTCAAGTGGTCCAGTTTGCCCGACTGAGTGGTAGCGCGCGTCAGCTCCAGTCGACAAGTGAAGAAGTGACAAACTTCCCGAGTACTACTATGGAGTACTCTGTACTAAGCTGCGAGGAACTAGTCAGTCGGAAGAAAGGACTGACTTGACCAGGACGGGATGATTAAAGGGGGAGGGAGGAGGAGGGGAGGGGGAAGGGAAAGAATGGGTGTTCGGGTGGGTGGGTTTGAAGTGGAGAGAGGAGTGACCGCAGTAGATACTACTAGTCAGTATCGAGTAGTGGAGGAGGGGAGTTGGGATGCACAAAAGAGACACCGTGAAAGAGGGGGAGAAAAAGAAGAGTTGAGTGAGGAAGGGTGGGAGACAAGGAGAAGGAGAAGGAGGAGGAGGAGGAGGAGGAGGTGGATGCAACATACCAGAAGAGAAGCTGATGTGGTATTGAAATTGGTGGTTACTATCTTTTGAATAATTAGATAGTAAGTAGATAGCCGATCGTGAAAGATGGGAAAGGTAAGTATGTGAGTCGCACAACTATAATACTTTTGACTATACTACTAATAATAATTATAATGAGGGGAGGGGGGAAGGAATTAATCTGGGAGAGAGAGAGAGAGGAACAGAGTCCGGGCAACGGAGACAGGAATGAGGAGTTACCAAACAATCAACAATTCCAAGTACGTATATGTTAGAATCTGGAATCTTCAAGAACAGTGCACTTACTCCGGGGGAGGGAGTGTGTGGATGGTCAAGTCATATCTGACCGGCTTTTAGAGCAACAGAATTGAATTTCAATAACTAATTCAAATCCAGGCCGAATTGGCAAAAAAGCTGGGGTTGGCCCCGGTAGGGATTCGAGAATGACCGAAGCAGATTGGAGGCCGCATCGGCTGCATGAAGACTCCTCTCACACCAACTGTTTGAGATTTGAACTAGTCCCGAGGCACGCTTAGATTGCCGCCCCATAGACTACCATCTACTATCTTCGTATCTACACACCACCACAGTAAAACTCGTTATACACCTGGAACTAATAATAATCTACTGTGCCTAGAAGATACATGATTAGATTACTACATACATTGACTGGTCTCATCATCTTCTTCATCTCCTTGCAACCTTTGTATCAGCATCGACAGTTCGGACATTTTTGCCTATTTCATGATCCTCGATCACTACTGTACATCCCAGGGGTTAGGATGTCCGACCTGCATACAATCCCAAACACAAGGAGCAACACACATACCACCTGGCAGGTACCACTACCCGCGACACAGTGTCCAATCTACTCCTAAGTCGATGGTTGTTCCTGTTTAGTCATGATATCGACCCCATCGGAGCCCTGGGCATAGCGCCTTCATTGGTCGGGGAAGTGACAGGAGTGGATGTCCGCTGGTTTCAGGGCTGTACTTAGTAGTGGTGGTGGTGGCCGATGATGGAATGATCCAAGCCACCGACAAGCTGGTTCCCATGACAAAAACCTAATTATTATTCCCCACGAGGATGACAATTACGGAGGTTTGGGGGTTCATAATTCCAAGTTGCAGGATACTTTTCACTAGTCAGTTCCTGTAGGATGTTAGAAAGGGCCGGCTGGCTGGGAAGGTACCTTGCCGCCTCCCTCCTGCATCGGAAAAAAGAAGGTACTACCTACTGGTTCCCGCCAACTCGGTCAGGCACAGGGTGTAAAGTTACATCCTGCGCTCCCCTTGCCTAGAAGTGACAGTCTCTATCCCGGTGGTTGGGTCAGTAGGGTGTACGTGATTAGTACTTTTAATAAATCTCTCTCAGTCAAATACACCCAAAATCAAATGAGCTAGCCCCCTTCTTGCCTCGGTTGATCGTTATCGCTTGTAGGAAAGGGTGAACTTTGAACTGCCTGAGTCAAGTGTTGGCCCCACACCAGTTGCTCGCGCCATCAACCACATTATTATCCCTGCTGATACTATGCTCTCTCTGCCTGTGCATTTCGGTTCCAAAGCCATAGCTCAGCAAACACTGCACGTTACAAATAGTAATATACCTGAAGTATAGGGGCATTTAGTACTTCACCAAGAACAAGCCCACAACTACTAGTATGAGCAGCCACAACATTGGCATTAGAGGAAGGGTTTACTAGTAATATATATAATTACCCCCAGGTATTCGAAGTCTGTGTAGAGACGACAGCTCCTCTGAACATGGCCCGAAGGTTGAACTAGGAACTGGGTATCGCATGCAGGCCTATACCTGCGCCAAGGGGAAGCCAACATATCTAGTCTGGGATTAATTCTCAAGCACGAAGACGAGAAATTATACTCAGTAAGGGTATGTGAAGAAAGCATGAAGATGCAATTGAGCAGGGCAGAATAGAGGCCACAATTCTGATATAAAATGCATCTTGCAGTAAAGAGGGACAGTGACCTTAGGACTAGCTACTACTACTATTGTAAATTTGATGCTACTGGGACCACTATATATTCTACACCAGCAAAAGTAGACTGGCGCTCTGGTACTGGACAATCAATTATGGTGCGCATCTCGTACCGCAACAGAGTTATGGACAGACCAGATAGGCCCAGTAAGGTTATTGAGCTGATACTGACTAGAAGCTTGTGAGAGCATGCGATCAGGTCCCTTGCTGAGCGGATGTTCTATCAAATGCTTGGATGGTAGAGGACATCATGATGATTGAAGTTAGATATATCGATGGAGAGCTGAGAAGTGGATCGCCATAAAGCAAACCAGGATGCATTATATGCAGTAAATGTATGAAAATTCTTTCCCTCAAATACTCTGTCGATAAATTGCTTACATCTCTGAATTAGAAATGGTGGTGTAGATAGAAACGGTGGTGTAGTTGGCAAAGATGAGAGAGGTCTCCCCGGTAAGGTAAACAATACCCGTCAGGCCATAATAGCTGGGTATTATTGATGCTCCACTCTCCGCGGTGTCAGTCACTCCCTCCAAAACGTCACTTCGCCAGCTTCACCCCCCAACCACTCTGTCTCATCCATCTCCCGCCATGGCTTGCTAGTTTTCCATCTTTTCTTCTTCTCGGCCTTATTTCATCCCGGTCGTTATTTTTCTTCTTTATGTGGTTGTGCCAATAGCCATCTCCGCCTTAACCCCCACTGAAGGAAAGGGTGGTGTCCAGCTCACCTCTTTGCTTCACAGTGTCCTAGGAGCCCTAGCCACCACAAGCCTTGCTTCCTTACCGGAGCACCTGGGCCCAACCTATCCTTGTCGCCCTTCTGTCTGAACGGAGGGGCCCCAAGGAGGCTAGAGAAACCAAGCTAGGCAAATTTCCCAGCGAACCCATGGCGAGGGACACCACGCAAACTCCGATCATCCCTCGTCCCCGGCTGCTTCAGGGCGCCGCCGCCAGTTATCCCTCCGACCTCACCGCCCCCTCGCTGTCTGCGCCCTTCAAGCTCGACGAGGGTTATTCCGATGAAACGAGAAGCCAGCCCGACAAGGACTTCCTGAATTCGCCCCCCGATGATGTGATGCCGCTCCCCGACTGGGTTAATGCTTATAGTGAGGCCGAGCGAGCCGGTGAGTTCAGCCCCCCTTCCCTTGGTTCCATCCGGCGCAAGGATCCTCTTCCGTTGGCTTCTTAGCGCGATCATAATCATACTGACAGGCTGTGGTGTTTCATGTAGAGCTCGCCTACAAGCTTCTACGCACCTTGCGTGCTTCCACTGTCGCCTCGGTGGTTGAAAAGCTAGCGCCTCTATTGCATATGGATCCCGTGCTAAAGTTACCTCCGGAAATCACCGCTGAGATCTTCTCCTACCTTGACCCTCAAACATTGGCAACAGCTTCCTTGGCATCTCGCTCCTGGCGTGATCGCATTTATGACACCCGTCTTTGGAGAGATTTATACATCAGCGAAGGCTGGCGGGTCGACATTGACGCCGTGCATACATACGAACAGGAACACTCAGGATTGGAATCACCCCAACTCCGGAAATCTCGGTTGAGGCATATAGACCCGGATCTCGGTGAACCGAAACAGAAGAAGCGCGTACCACCCAGCTGGCTAGACTCTCGCGCGACAGGATCGCTGGATAACAATGAGGCCGTGCAAGGAAATGGGCTGCAGCCTTCCGCAGCGGCAGATCTTGAGGGTGATCATCACATGAGTGATGCGTCAAACGATCGTGGACCGGTGCTCACAGCTGGGCAACAATCATCGACTGCACGTCATGAGTCGTCGGGAACTGCTCAATTGAAGTCAAACTTACAGCAGATTTCGACGAACGCTAGCCCCCCCAAGTCATCACTATTGATTCGGATGCCCAATGGTGCTGCGAAGATGAATTGGCCACATCTGTATCGGGTACGGAGGCGGCTGGAAGAGAACTGGACTAAGGGCCGTTTTACGAACTTTCAACTGCCGCATCCAAATCACATGGAAGAATCTCATCAGGAGTGTGTATATGCGATTCAGTTTACCGACAAATGGCTGGTCAGTGGTAGCCGGGACAAGACTGTTCGAGTATGGGACCTGGACACCAAGCGATTATGGCATCCGCCTCTTCAAGGCCACTCAAAGTCGGTTCTCTGTTTGCAGTTCGATCCCCGCCCTTCTGAAGATATTATCGTGTCGGGAAGCAGCGATAAGAATGTCATAATCTGGCGCTTTTCTACTGGAGAGAAGCTTCACGAGATTGCGCCAGCTCATGATGACTCTGTCCTGAACCTCCGATTCGACGAACGCTATATAGTAACTTGCTCCAAGGACAAACTTATCAAGGTTTGGAACAGGCGTCAGCTCACGCCAATGGACAAGGACTACCCCTCTGTTTTCCAGGGTTCGGGTGTCTCCTATCCCTCGTATATTGTCGACACAAGCGCCATTCCCGCTTTTATACTCGAGGCCGAAATTGCCAAGAATCACATTCGAACCTTGGCGCCATATTCATTGCTAATGATCCTTGACGGACACACTGCCGCAGTGAATGCTATTCAGCTCAACGAGGATGAGATCGTGTCCGCCTCGGGCGATCGCCTGATCAAGGTCTGGAACCTGCGCAACGGCGCTTGTCGGAAGACAATGATAGGCCACGAAAAGGGCATTGCATGCGTACAGTTCGACAGCAAACGCATCATCAGTGGAAGCAACGATGATACCGTTCGCATTTTCGACCACGCCTCCGGTGCCGAAGTGGCCTGCCTGCACGGGCACGCCAACCTCGTTCGGACAGTCCAAGCTGGCTTCGGAGATCCACCGGGTGCCGAGGAGGCCTTGCGACTGGAAGCTCTGGCTGTCGACAACGAGTTCCGTGATGCTCAGCGCACCGGTGCAAACGTTGACCTCGGCCCTAGTGCCCTCCGGCGCGCCGGATATCAGCAGAACACTAACGGGTCCCGGAACCCAAGAGACATCAAAGCCCTGGGTGCCAAAATCCCCCCGGGCGGAGGCGGGAGCCAATGGGGACGAATCGTCTCCGGCTCATACGACGAGACCATCATCATCTGGAAGAAGGACAACGAAGGCCGCTGGGTTGTAGGCCAGCGACTCCGACAGGCAGACGCCGCCGCCAATGCCTCATACAGCCACCTAGATTCCTCTGCACGCCAGACAATCGCACGAGCCAACGCCTTTGCTCAAGCGCACCAGGCGCAACAAGCCCAAGCTACCATGGCGGCCGCCGCTGCGGCCGCCGCGATATCAACAGGCGGTGGAGCACCGCAGCAAACACAACCACCACGTTTGCCTCCAACCAACTCCAACACCAACAATCCCTCCTCGCAAAATGCACCCTGGCCCGCGCACCTAGCCCTCAATCCGGCCCTCCTCATCTCGAACAACCTCCAACCCACCGCCCAGCAAAGCACACCTCACGCTCAAGCTCAAGCTCAAACTCAAGCACCCACACCCGCACCCATCATGCATGCCGGCGCTCCAATGAGACCCCCACCACTACCACCCCATGCTCAGCAACATCAACAACAGCAACAACAACACCCCCGAGTGCGAGCCTTCCCCGCCGCCCCCCAGCAACCACCTACCTCAAGGATCTTCAAGCTCCAATTTGACGCGCACAAGATAATCTGCGCAAGTCAGGACCCCAGAATAGTCGGGTGGGATTTCACCGCTGATGATGAGGAACTGAAAGAAGCGTGTCAGTTCTTTACGGGACTGTAACAACCTTACATTACTACTGAAAGATGATGTGGTATAAGAACTATCTTTTGGATTTAAATTATATTCCTTCCCAAGACCCTTTTCGCTTTCTTCTATATATCTTCTTCTTCATTTCTTCTTCCGAAAAATCCCGTCTACCTGATTCATCTCTTGTGCATTAGGAGCCTGTTTATTTTGAGTTTCTTTTTCTCCCTGTCTCTTTATATGATTGCCTCTGGGTGATTTGTCTATATTGCATGAAAACCATTTCGCTCTTCTTCTTGTGGAGACTTGATCTATGTGTGTGTGGGTCTGCCTCGTCAGGCCTCGTTGTCTTTTGTTCATAACGC